CTGAGAATATTTTGTAAACAGGATGAAATAAGACGTAGGTCTTGTAAAGTTTTGTTGTTAATGGGGAGACAAATACTGTCCTAATGGCAGTTTTGTGCTTGTGGGGACTTTGAGGAAATGAAAGTATAAAGTACTGTGTATTATTTGTGCATATAGAGAGGTGCTGGTCTTTACAATACCAGTATGTGAAATACAGAAATAGGAATCAGAATTGTTATCTAAGTAACACACACAGCACACTCTTCTTACCACATTTGGATTTTTGTTCCACTGTAGAGCAAAATAATCTCAGTTTTATTAATCACAACCATACTTTCACTTTCTGTTCATACAATTTATATACATAATTCTAATGCAGACTAAATTAAATGCCAAACTTATGGTAAAATGGTGACTTTCTATTAAATTGCTCTCTTTTAAGCAAAGTAGGTCGCCCATCATCATATATTACATAAGACATTGCTTGCTATGAAAAGTCTGTTTCAAGTTTTCACTTCCTCTTTTGTACAAACTTATCAAACCTTCGAAATTTTAAAAAAAGCCAAACTTAACCATTAAAAGGACTATAATTCTAAAGCATATATAAGACAAACACAGCATTACCTTGTAACTTTTCCAGTTTCTCCATATTAGACAGAAATAAGGAGTGGATTCTCTCCAGCTCTAAATCTGGGTCAATGACCACTTTAATGTCCGGCAGCTCACTGGTCACAGGGGCACAGCCGCCAACAGTTTGCTCTGTGGCATTGCAACTAGATATGATGAAGGTTAAATGTTTAGCAAATGTAAATTATCAGTACTCAATGGTGCAATGGTTATGGGAACACACACACTTTCCCATGTTCATAAAAAAAAAAAATAATAATAATAATAATAAATCAACTTGAAGGCTTTTTTTCAATCACATTTTGCCCTTTGGTGTTAGTACCGCACCAGTGACTTACCAGAGATAGTGTCCATTCACAAACCCTGCAGGGTGATAGAAATGAAGCCGGTTTTCATTCATCTCACAGATCTTGGATAAAATGTCTGTCCTACAACCAGAAAATACACCATATTACAGTCTGAAACTATTCACGAGATCTTTTAATTCATCAACAGTACTCTATGCCTTTCAAATTCTGGGACCTTTAGGCAGGGAAGGAAGGGGATAACCACACTGTTGGCTGAAAAGTTCCACTCTGAATCAAACTTTGATCTAGATTCTACACCATTTTCAAATTGGTTCAACTTAAATACCCCTTTTACTTTAAATATGATTGGTCTTTATCTCTGAACTGCCTTCCAGACAGAAAATATGTGGAAACGTAAAATCAAGTGACTTCTTTTTAAAGTAAATCCTTTAGAATTGAAACAAAACTCTTCAAACAGTCACTTATAACTATTAAGAACACCTCATGAGAGATAGATGAAAAAAGCTCCATTATGTGGTGTCCACTCTCTCCCTACCATTCCTTCATCTCCACACAGTTGTTAGCCTGGATATACAATGTCCTCTGAGGCTGCACCACCTGGAACATCTGAAACAGAAATAAGACCAATTTCAAATAAAAAATAATAGATCTCAGATTTTTACAGTTTATGAGACAATGTTGCATCAAACTAAAATTCAAGCTTTTGGGCAACAAAGTAGGATACAAGCCATAACATGTTTTGAGGACATATCATGAGTTATGAAATGTTTTTTGTCTCAACGATAACACTTGTGATTGATTTTGGATTAATTCAGAACTTTTAAAATATAAACTGCACCATTTTCATTTAACCTCAGAAGTGATTCCAAGAGAGATTGAAAAAAAAGAAAATATCATATAAAATTTTTGAAAAAATTAGAGATTTAAGTCTTTAGGACACATCCTGAAATTTGAATATTTGGTTGTTTGTTGTATTTATGCCCATGTGTCCCCCATATAGAACTGCAACTTTCGGACCTTTCATTTTGAAGATTTAATAAATGGTCCAATTTCATTTCTGGAAAATAATGACTGGAAAAAAAAAAAAAAAAAAAAAAAAAAAAAAAAAAAAAAAAAAAAAAAAAAAAAAAACCAAAGATGACAACACACTTACATATTTCATTTTGAAAGATTCCTCTTCTACAGTCTCTACTGCGAGTATTTCATCAACAGGAATCTCACACAGTGGCTCATCATCTACAAAATGTGTTATAAAATTTATAATACTTTGCATTATCCTCTCTCTCTGGTTCTTTCTTCACCAATATTTTTCACCCCTCTTCAATCCAGACTGCATACATGAAGCTGAACCACACCTTTTAGAATCTCTTGAACACGAAAACAGTACAAAAAAGTAGAACATGGATTGGAAATTTTATAAAGAAGAGCAGTATTTTTTCACAAATTGACAGTAATAACTACCTTTTGATTTTGCATAGGATAAATACTGGTTGGTGAGACAAAAGTAGCGTCTTTTGAAATTCTTAACTCCAAACCTCCGCCTTCCCTGAGCTCTCTTGGTCATCATGCTGAAAATAAAATAAATAAATATAAAATTGAACTAAATATTTATACAATGTCAGGTTGAACTATAAATAAATAACTGTGGAATTTAGTTTGATAATGTTTATTGGCCGCTCCCCTAAAAAATTATAAATAAAACTGCATGAATGTCCAGAATGAGATTAAATTTTTTCTCTTTATCTGAGTACAAAATAAGTTTTTGTCCACTTACCCTTCTTTTAAGACAATGGTGGTGGTAATAGTCCTGGACTGGGTCCTGGCTGTAGAGACAATGTCCAGAAACTGAAAGACAACACAATTATATTACATACTTTATAATATTTAATATATCTATATATGTACATTTAAAGTTTTTCTGATTAACCTTACTAGCTGACTGCTTACATAATATTATATTATAGCAGAAGTGCTACAACTCACAGTTCTTAAAGCAGCAGTGTGATGTTCTGTGCTGAAACTTCTGAACAAAGGCACCATGTAATCTTCCTTGAAACCATAGGAGGCCTGGAACAAAAATTATAGACAATAAATAAATAAATAAATAAATAAATAAATAAATAAATAAATAAATAATCATATCAGCATTGCCATTTTGTTTTCTTGATGACACATAAATAAAATAGTCATTAACCAATTACTATATTGCCATTCAATAAAATGTTGATCAAAATACACTTTTTTGCTACAGAAATTACTTATATTAAGTAGGTAATGTTGTAACACATCTATCATCCCATTTTGGGGAAGGCAGGTAAATAATGGGGAAGGCAGGTAAAAGACCTGAAGAAGTTAAAAAACTTTGAGAAAACAACAGCAAACTTCTTTTAGAAATAATTTAACTGTTTCCCTTTTCTTTCTTTTTTTTTTAACGATATCTGTTACACTTACATGTTTACTGCTTACTAGGTTTCCCAAGCTCTGCACTGCCTTGGAAATTAGTGTAAGTTTTCTACTTGTACTTTGGTCCTGAAAACAGGGTAGAGACAGAGAGATTTCAAAAGTGTGCTTTTAAATAAATTTATATCCTGTGTCTTTAATCTTCTGTTTTAGAATAAGACTGTCATAAATGATCAAAGTAAGACAATCAACTAGACGTACTTGATATAGTATGAGAAAGTGAGGTTATCCAAAATAGTCAAATGGGAAAAAGATAAAAGCACTGGACTTGGGATGTAATGCTGAAACCTTGTTGTTGACACCATGACCTTCAACAAGGTAGAGTGTGTGTATGTGTGTGTGTGTCTGTGTGTGTGTGTGTGTGCATGTGCACATGTGTTCATTTGTGCACATTGTCTCTTCTTGGAATATGAAGAAATAGATATTCAGAAAAAAAAAAAAAAAAAGAAAAATGACTATCACAGAAAACCATCACCAGGAATCATTTCTGCCATTGTATTCTAATACTGAAAATTCCCCTGACTTACTGGAGTTTCCTGTCTCAGCTGAAACAACTTTGGTCCCAAGATGGCGGGTGCGTAAAACCTGAGGAAAATAAATCCACTGACAACCTGGTAGCGGACTGCTTTGTTTTCTGAAACACATGGCACACATATTATTAATAATTAACTACTTAAACCTGATCTGACTGCTGCAAGGTTTAATGATATAGTTACTGTTATTAAATAGCCAGAGAAATATTTAGGGAGAATTCTCTCTGTGCCGCTTTTAGAAACCACACTAAGATAATGTGCTTTTAGGCCAAACAAAATTGACAAGTAGGTTTATGAGCTCAACCGACCCTTACTTTGAGGAATTCATTATTTTCTGCACCTACTTTTCTTTCAAATGAAAAAATGCAATGGGTCTTGGTTTGGCCAATGGGCAGCACTGAGTCTAACCATAATGCTGTTGTTTGAATGCTCAAAAATTGCCCACCCTGCCAACTTGACATTACTTCTTTCCTTAATAAATTAATAAAACATGTTTACAGGGAGTAGCTGCTCGTTAATCAACTGATCGAATTTTTCTGGTCTTACCTGGAAAATATTTGGTGGCGATTTCCTTGAGTACGGCAAAGACCTGACACATGATTGTTGGGCACTGGAGAGCAGACTGGGTGATGGCCACGATGATCTTCTCGATATAACCTCGCAGATTGTTGATGTTGTTGTCCAGGTTTTCACTTGGGGAGAGGCGGGTGGGATCCACCTCACAGGGTAGGTGGTCATCAAATATCTGTTTAAAATTTAAAAAATAAATAAATGATAATTACAGGGATAACAAGTTTTCAGATGAGATTCATATTTCACAATAACTACATTGTAAACAATTCACAGACAAATATTTAAATTTCAATTTACAACCAATACATGGTTTTGCAATTTTTCTGTAATCTGTGCTTGTCATCAGACCACTTGGACCTACATAGATGTGATATGGCTATACCTATGTTGTAATATCTTAAGACAAAAAAAAAAAAAAAAAAACACACGGACTCACTCTGTATGTCATAACGTATTCATTAACCATAGGAAATTCATTTACTCCAGAAAAATCCTTTTTTTAAACCAAAACAAATAGTTGTCATCTCTTTAGTAGCAGAAAAATGTTGTGCAAAAATGCACTTTGCATGTACATCAGCAGAGAGAGTTTTGGTGACAAACTTGATGACTTTTCTTAACTGAGGTGTGCCCAGAGAGAGAGAGAGAGAGAGAGAGAGAGAGAGAGAGAGAGAGATAGAGAGAGAGAGAGAGAGTCAATTGTTTTACCTCATCTATAATAGCTTTGAGTGTATCATGCAGATAGTGCATGCCCACAACTTTCATCAGCTCATCTATACACTTACTGGCTAGAGTATTGCCACGGAATATAGTATTTGGGTCCCTAAAAAACAAGGAAAACAAAATATACACAACAAATTCTGTTTAGTTCAGGTTTTTCTTATAAGTCACATTTATTTAGCATTGTCATATTTTCTAATATATATTCTGTTGGTGCAAATATCCAAAAATTCCACTCTAACATTTAACGCAAACTCAGGATCAGAAACAATGGTAGACTAATGGGTGTGATGTGGCAACAAAAAAAAAAAAAAAAAAAAAAAAAAAAGGCAAACAGCATCTCTGTTGTAAAACACATTGTTTAGAGATCACCATAGCATCAGTGTCCATGCCAGGATGATAACCCCTGCTTCTCAATGAAGTGATCAAAATGTGCAGACAATGCATTAAATGATTAGATATAATCATTTTTATTATTTTTTAGGCCCCAGAAAGTAAAGTGCTGCACTATTTTAACTAAAACTGAAAACATGACATACGATATTCGGGAGATCTCCCAATCAGACAAGGCTTCAATGAGAGGAACTAATTTCTCATGGTGGAGGAACACCTTTACTAAAGGCTGTGCCGCTTCTTGGCGTTGCTCCACCACTTCACCTAAGATGTATGCCGCACTGGAGGTGATTGGCTAAAATACAGAGTGCACTATGTCAAAAATCAAAATGAGCAATAGAAACATAATTCACTACATTCATCTTTGAGAATTGGTATATATTTTTAATATGGTCTAAAATGTAAGCTAATGTAATAACTAATTACAAAATTAAAGACAAAATACATGTAATCAAATTTTCACAAATTATGTTTTGCATCTTACACATGAAATACCCAGTTTGACAACTGTGAATAGTTTGATTGAATTCAAATATTTGTTTTAAAGTTACTAATGACAACTATCTGTCTGGAATCTTGCAGTGATGTGATACCTGTACTTCAGGTGATTTCAGAAGCAGATTCCTCAGGTCGTTATAGTAATGAGACAAGAACACGTGGTCAGCCGTGTACGAGATCTTCAGCCTCAGAGAACCCAGTTCATGTTTCTTGGAACTGCTTTCTCTGGGACTTAAAAAATACCTAGAGGGGATTATAATAGTAGTGTTATCTGATATTATTGACATACTTTGAAAATGAGACTATGATATTTTTACATGGCATCCAATACATGCATTTATTTCAGCCTTCTTCTAATTACCATCAAATAAGCCACTTAATCAGCAAAACAAATTTCATTCAAATAAACCCAAATACAACTTGGCAAAAATGACAAATATCAAATATCATCTTTACCAAAATTGATTTTTTTTACCAAAGTTTTACATGTTATCATGAACCTGGAGTTACGAAAACATGTCCCTTAATACCCTTTCCCTTTAATTTATTAACACACCAATTCCTATACCAGTACAATTTAAGAAGCCAGTACAGAAAATTAATGGACTGCACTTTGTTGTACTAAACCCCATCCAAGTTCATATAACGCCAACAAACAATTTTCTCTCAAGAGCTTCACCATTACAGTTTTAAAGTCAAACCATTCCAAACACTACTTCACTTAATAAAAGAAGTGCACTCTCCATAATGCAAAAAAATTCACATTCCCTGAAAGTAAAAAGAGACAGTAAAGAAAGTGCCTCTCCAAAAACTACCACCACCTCCACCACCATCACCATGTGAAGCATACCATGCATTGTGTGCAGTTGTCTGGTCCAGATCTTTGAGAAGAATTTTAACCTCGCCCAGAAAAGCTCCCGGAAACATGTGTCCCAACACTTCCCTTGACACCCGAGAATCGTCATGCCACAGTGAAATGCTGAAACGTACAAATGAGTGTGGTGAAAGAATTGTTTAGGGCACATTCAGAATCAGCTGATCCACAGACTAAGTAGTCCATGGATCAAATATGACGTGACCCAATTGAAAAAGTGCTGAGATGTAATTGCTCTGCTTCTGCTGGGACATCACGCATGGGAGGCAGGGATCCATTGTCAAGTATATGCCATATTTGATCTGCGGACTAGTTAGTTCACAGATCAACTGGTTGTGAATTCGGCCTTAGAGTAATGAGCCACCCATCAAGGGGTGAAACTGTAGTCACATGATCTCCCCTCACTCCACCTTGTTAGCTTCAGAGGTACCTCCTTTTTCTTTAATAAAGTTTTTATTGACTGATATAGTTATCAACCATATACAAGGATGAGACTGCTGCCATTTAGTGAAAAAGTCTGAAAATATGAGGTGGGGTGGGCTCCAGACACCTCACCCTAGTTTTTATTGCAGATCTGCATTGATCTAAAGGATGATATTTTTGGCTACCAAAAAATCGGATATTTTTCTCGATATTTGAAAAAATCTCATCCCTGCACATACTGACATAAATGATGTTGAGTATGCTCTCAATGGGTCACAATCTTTACTTACACCTGTCCAATGATGTAGATACCCAGCTGACAACCCTTGCTTCTCTATTTAACTCCTGAAGTGATCCAAATGTGAAAAAAGTAACTGCAAGTGGTTAAAAATGATCATTTTATTCATTTTCAGGACCCAGAAAGTGCCGCTACTTTTGAGGACACAATCTGTTTAGCAATTACCTGAGCTCTGCGTTAGTGGAGTCGTCCACTATGTACTGGGTCATCCTGTCATGGTTCTGGCCTTTCTTTTTTAACTGGAACGAAATTGGGATATTTCTTTCATTGTTAAAATACTGCATACAGTCTTTGTCTGGCATAACAATTGGTATGATTTTGTAAAGAAATGAATGCTTTATTAAAAAACTGAAAAGATTTACATGAATATATGAGCATTTTTATTGTCTTTTAACTAACATTTTATTAAAACTGTAAGCTTTACTATCCCATCTCTACTTTTCAGTCCCATCTATTTCATCATAACCTTCAGACTTAAAAAGGCAAGATAGTATATTTTAGTTGTTTGAGATGTAAATTCACATCATTTTGACCTAATAATCCTTCAAATCCACCCTCCCATCACTTTCCAATCTGTATCTCCACCTATTTCCAAGTATCTGAGAGTTCCTTACATCAAAGAAAAAAGTTTCGTCAAACTGTGGACAAATTGTCTTCTTTTTCACAGCTGTCCTTTTATTTTCCACATTTTTCTGCATTTTGCCAAAGGTCAAGGTGACCTCGGCATATGGGTTACAAGCACCATTGATCACTGTCAAGTCACTACATTCCACAACTCTGAAAAATAAATAAAATAAAAAAAAATGACAAAAGAATCATAATAGCAGACATTTGATTACAATACATACTTAATTCTCCTCTAAAACTATTCTCAACAGCATGAGGACATCAAGAAGCTGAAAAACGTGATCAGGGGAAGATCCAGATATATCTTTTGACAGTCTCCCAAATTATTTTAGTTTAACCATCCTCCATTTTTGACCGTCTTTCAACAGAATAAATAAATGGCCATCAATGTAAACTTGAAAAAATTTGACTGTCTTCCGGAAGACCCAGAAGACAGCCTCCATCTGCCTCTGGTGATTAAGTGCACAGGGCTTCAGTATTCATGATTTCCTTGTAGGTGTCTGCCTTCTCTCTGCTCTGATCTGTGAAGCACCTTACCTAATTAAGAGTCTGCTAGAGGGAAAATTGTATTCAAAAAACAAAATCATGGACAATTGACTATGACAGGCACTAAATTATCTTCCAAAACTATTCTCAAACACATGACGATATCAAGAAACACATAGGTCAATCTATGTATTTTCTTTAAAGGGATCCTGACAGGTATCTTCCCGAGGAAGCACCGTACCTGACGGAGAGTCTGTGAGAGGGCATGTGGCTCCCCCTTGTGTCCAGACATTCGCTAAGTCTCAGTTCCACATGGACCTTTCCCTGGACCTCGGATAATGCATCCACAGGATGCAGAGGGAGCCAGTGGTCCTTCCCATGGTATTTGTGTAATTCTTCTTTCTTTATTACCACATTGCCTATGATCTGTGAAGATAAAAAACAGTCATGGTGAAACTTGTCCGCTTCTGGGTTAATATCAAGCATAATTGAAAGTGGGCTGGCAATTCTGATGGAATCTGTGCATTAATCAGCCCACATGGGCCAGCAATTGGCAACTGATGCACTAGTAAACATAATTTTTCGACTTAAAGGTAAAAACAGACACATTATTTTACAACTGGTAGAGGTAAGAGTTACCTTTTATAAAACCAACAATTATTTTAACGTCTACTCTTATTAAATTTTTCTTGCCTTTCATTTAGATGTTCAAATTAGCATAAGATAAAAGAATCCTGAAAACAACTCACTTTGTCTTGTTTGACTGTCTTCTCATGGACATAAAACTTGAGAAATCGAAATTTTCTTGGAATTTCACACTGGAACTCTTCACCATAAAAAGGACTGAAAAGAAGCAAACAAAGATGCCATAAATATGGCAATTCGCTGAAAATGTCCTTAGTCTACTTTGAAATTTGTTGTTTGATCTCATATTTATATGTAAACTGCCACATATGACTAAGCATCAGTTCCATAGAAGTGACTTATATACATGTTATAGACTAGATAAGAATACATTCAACCAAATGTTATATATCTTGCTAGAATGTACATGTAAAATATAAAAATCAGAAATCCTTTTCCATTTTTTTAGCAGTGCCAAGAGAAATGTAAATAAATATGAAAGTAAATTTTAAGTATTCTTTATTTAATTTATTAGCATTAAAAAGGTTAATTTAAAACCGAATTAAAATGGGATGACTGCATGGGGGATGGAAACTGCTTAAAATCATTTATAAAGATCACTGTTGCTCAGTATAAAAAGTTAAAAATGCTGACACTTGGTGAGAGGGGAATGTCAAGACGCTTTCCTTATAGTGTCACATTTGAATTACGAATCTGCTACTTCTATTTATCATTAGTTGTCTGGAGACATAATTTAGCTCATTTCTGCTCAAAGGTAGCTGTAAATCAAGACATGCCATTGTAGATTAAACACTCTTTGGCCAATGAGCCATTGTTAATACATCTTTTTTTAGCTCTGGCATGCGCTTTAGTAGACAAAATTAAACTTTCACTCTCTCTTTCTTTATGTCCTTGCATTAAGGAAGATCATTTGCAAGAAGAAAAAAAAAATTCTAAAAAGGTACTTGCAAAAATAACATTCACCAACATTCCAGAGTATTTCAATCAAGCATAAAACTAGAACCTACTCAACAGCGTTTTGTGAAAAAATTATTCATTTCACATGTTCAAATTTAATATGTATGTATACATGTAATTAAAGTATTTCCATGTACTGAATACCAATAAGTACCTACTTTAAATTTCTCTCGATCAGTGAAGTTTTGAAAATCTGTTCTTGGTCCAAAGCCACACTGCAGTAAGTGTCTCGCAGTCCAGAAGTTACATTACTACTGGAAGGGGGAAGATGCTTAGCCTCACCTGAAAATAATAAAAAAAATTACCATGATAACTATTTGATTAACAGTTTTTAAATTTGATTTGTTTTTATACACATTATATTATCAGTGTTCATGGAACTTCATATTTTTAGCAATACCAATTTGCTAGAAACCTTCTAAATTCAGCTTTTTGAAAGGACCAAAAATGCTAATACAGTGTAATCAAGTTTTGGCAGATTTTTAGGTTACTGTACTCAGTACAGTTTTTTGACTTATCATTTTTAAAAAAACTTCAGAAAAAAGAAGAAAAAAAATTTAATTTTGACTTAAAAGCATCCTTCACTGATGTTTCTGGGTTCATTTCCAATCAATTTTTAAAAGTGGCCAATTAAGTAGTATCCCCACCCCCCACCCCCATGAAAAAATCCCACATTAGCACATACACATAGAATGTGTTCAGCACAGATGATCTGCAAACAAACTGATCCACTGACTAAATATGGCTGACCCCATTTAAAAAGTGATACTGCTAATTAGCTTTTTAAATGGGGTCAGCCATATTTAGTCAGCAGATCAGTTAGTTCGCAGATCATCTGTTCTGAAAGTGCTCAAAAACACCACACTTTGAGGGTTCATAATTTGTTTTGCACTGGTGCAAATTGCTACAAATTCCCCCGACTTGTCCAAAATTTCAATTATCAACCATGAATAACACATTCACTAAAATGTATATATGGATGCCAATATTCTGCTCTATTTCTGGTCTTCTATCACTATGTACACACAGCATGGTGGCAATGGAGTCAATCTGTGGTCAGATATCTCAGAATCAGGACAGTTGGGACAGCAGTGATAACTGAGGATATCCCAGCCGCTACATGAGCCAGCCCACAAAACAACTATCAAGAGTGATAAAAAAATATATCATTTCTAAACAGAGTAAATGGGTCTTGTAAGGCATGACATTTTGTTTCGGGTCTCCCTTTAGGTCCTTGATCATGACTGACTCTTAGACCAAATTCACAACCAAATATCCGCAGATCAAATATAACCGCCCCTGACAAAAGGGGAATTTATTCAGTGTCTACCTGGGGATCATGCAGCAAGCTTTTAAATGGGTCCTCCATATATGATTCCCGGATTTGTTAGTCCACAGATCAACTTGTTCTGAGTACGCCCCTTGACATGAGCACCTGAAGTTAGGTCGCCATGCTTCATTAAGTAGAAAACATGTTTAGCCTCTTTTGAAACAACATTCTTCTTTTAATGTTCATTTTACAGGGGAGACTATGAGGAACCTAGCAGTTATTTTGCAAACTTAAGCTTGGAAGTCCATAAAAATCAAATATACTTTGACAGGGCTCAAAAATAGATCCCCCCCCCTACCTTTTCATGTAATAATAATAAAAATGTGTACTAGTGCAGTAGCTGCAAATCAAACACCTATTCTATATTGCTCATCTTGCTTTCAAAAATGATGGTCCAGATACAACACTAATATGACTGGCAGACACTAATGACTGTCTGATCTGATTATAAACGAGAGACGAATGAGCAACAGAGTGAAAAATAAAAGCTGTTGATATATAACTGAGACACTGACATAGCATGGCTCTTTTCACATTGTGGGATACACTGAAAAGAGGACTGATAATCATTGTCACGGATAGGTTGTGGCAGACAAGGTGTGTACACGGTCGGTCGCAAATTTCCCTACACATGTGTATTAAAGGTATCCCATCCAGGTTTATCGTACCAAATATAATTTTTCTTCAAAAGAATTTTTCTCCCCTGGTGTATTATTGCACAGCCTGTCCTCCCACTTGAATTGAATATACTGTTTAAAATGAACTAATTTTGTTATAAATGGCCGTATTCAGAACAGTGGACTAACAAGTCCAAGGGTCAAATATAACTGGCCCATTTGAATACTTCCTCATGGGGAATCTATTCAGTGTCTATTAATGGATTAGATGGCAAGCTCTTTCGTGAGTTGCAATGTTTCTCATTATGTTTAGATAGCCATGTCTCCCTACCAGTACCCTACCAGTACACACATTTTAGTAGGAAATATATTTTAAAAATTAGGTATTTACAAGTATATCTAAGGAGAACTATCATTTTTATAAAGGTCAGAATTGGGAAAGATATTTTATAAGTAGCTTTGCAAGACAAGCAGACATAAAATATTACTTCAGGGCAGTTATACATATATATATATATATAGTAAGTATTTAAGGGCACATTCAGAACAAGTTAATCCTAAGACTTAGACTGCATTCCCACAGATTTTAGATCGATCTATCCCCGTGGGGAGTCTCACTAGATTACTGTCAGCTTAGCCAGTCAACTTTGGTTGTGAATGCAGCCTTAGACTGCATTCCCACAGATTTAGATCGATCCATCTGGATCGACCTAACTCCCTGGGGGTTCATGCGCACTATAGTTAATTACCCCCTTTTATAGCTTTTAGTAGGCAGGACAGACATTTAAGCCAGTTAAGCTGACACCAATCTAGTGAGATTCCCAGAGGGATAGATCGATCTAAAAATTTGTGGGAATGCAGTCTTAGAGACCAGTCTTAGATAAGACCAGAGGTAACTCAGAATATATTTTTTAAACACAGAACAACCATGAAACCATTATGATGCAAAAAAATTTTAGGGGGAAAAAAAACCCTGAATGCATCACCACTCATGAGTGAGAAATATGTATGCAAAACAATGATTAATGTCTTTGGCACTAAAAATCACTTTTTTGTACAGTACTACTACTTGTTTTTGGTGTCAAGAAATGCTATGAGACACAACATGCATTATTTATAACTGCAATGAATCATAATTTGTCATGCTTTGATTCAGTGAGTGTAGGCTTGCAAATACCCCATACACACGTCATAATTTCCATTTTTAACCCTGAAAGTTTTTTAAAATCAGTTTCCACCCAAAGAATAACTTTTTTCTACCAAACCAACCAAAATTAGTACTTACAATATTTCCAAGAATTTGAAAAATAAGAGAGAAAAAGAGAAAGAGAGAGGGCATATTATCAGAACTTCTCAATAAAATCCACACTAAGCATGTTATGAGACAGAGCAGTGCTCACTTTCATTCCAGCTGAAAACTAACACCAGTAATTGGAAAGCAACATGTGGCAACCTATTCATGCTACCGATTCCCACAGAAAAGCAATAAGCACAGCAGTTTATGGACATTAACAGGCATAAAACTGAGCCACTGTGCATTTGGTTTCTGCTCCTGATACTAAATCTCGAGAGACAAAAAGGCAATTTTCGTATTACTTCAAGATTTACAATATTTCCAAGATCTCGCAGGAGATCGGCAGCCATAGATCATTGAAGAATATTTTTAACCCCCCTCCCAGATCAGGACACTTGGAAAAAAGTTGGACAAAATTTTAAAGGAAACTACAGATGGTAATTTTGGATGTCCTGTACCACAATCCTGGAAAAGCCTTGTTATAGAACAATAATACTGGCATGACTCATTCCGAGTTCCAATACGTATTAGAAAGAGACAGAGCCCAATGACTCATATCAAATGAGACACAGGATATTGATATCAATAGAACATACCACGCGACACAAAAATAACAAATACGGTATTGACTATATCTTTTCAATGGGCAAAAATTATCGAACTTTCAGATACATCATTTTAAAATCATAAAAATTATAATTTTTTGTAGCAATTATTGTGATTTAATGCATAGAATAGAACTGTAAGGTAGTCTGCTTTTAAATTTTGTTGTAACCACTCAATAGGAATGCTCGTATTTTAAGAAATTAAAACTTTAGAAATACAGTAACTGTAAAATTCATAATTTTTCCCCATTGAAAAGATCGAGTCATTACCATAAATAGCAGACCAGACATGCCTGTCTTTTCGCATCACTGGATACTATATATGTACAAGTATAAAAATAACAGTTCCTGGTTGATTAAAAAACACTTTCACAGCAGGCTGAACTTTATGACTGTATTCAACTTAATGAGTCTTTGTTTTCCTAATTTCTTACAAAAATTAAACAGAAATGTCTTCTGCCTTTTGTAGTAACAGGTTGCAACTTTTGAGATCAGTTTCTCTGTTATTCAGTGTGGAAATCTTGTTCTGAAGACAAATGAATAAAATACACTGTTATTCAAATAACTAAATTTAGTGCAAAGATGTTTGTCTACACTAGTAGTCATATCCATATTGATACTATATATTAACTTGTGTTGGTGCTCGAAGTGTAGGTTTGATTACACAAGGGCAACTTTAGACTGGAAATATGAGGCAAACTGTGGTCTCACCACTATCACAACCTCTGCATAGAAAGTACACACAGCATCTTTATATTTTTGTCATTCTTTTTTTTATAATTATCTGTATCATTATTGCTTGATCTTTTCCTTATTAAGTACTTCATCATTGTATTATTATTATTCTTTCTTTTATTGGGGGGGGGTGGGGGTGGGGTGGGGGGGGGGGAGAACCAGTTTAATTTTTTACTTAATCCATAATATCAACCTTATGAATAAAATACCAAAATACTATATATATATTCTAATGCCAAAGTAAATTAATTACCTTTAGTGATAGAAAAAATATTTCCTATTTCAACATAACTGAGCTTACTGAATATACAGATTGACTCACTGTGTTTACTGAAATTTAACCACTTTGTCTATGGAACACATGAAATATTTTGCTGTTTAATAAAATAAAAGTTTTAAAGTTTGTTAATGGCTAAATTTATCCAGTTATTATACAAAGACCCTAAGAAGAATCCCATTTGTTCATTTTTGTGCATTTTAGTACAGGTTTCAGTTTCAGGTGATACCGTACATTAACACATGTACAAGAAGAACTTGAACACAAAGACTGATACATCAATAGATAAGAAAAGTACTGATGTTCATCAAAGAACGGTTGAGAGCACTGCTCCATATGGTCTCCTGTTTATAAGGTAGATAGTTACAGCTTGATAAACAAATGACAAACACAAATCATAAACTGCAATTAACCTTTTTTTTTCAACAAAAGCTCTGGACACTTGGACAAAGTCAGCTGCAGATGCTGGATGAACAACTCAAAAATTATATTATTGTGCTAACAGAATGATAAAGGTCACTCAGGGTTTTTCCTTCAATTTTCATTTTTCTCTTTTTTTCCATGGGTTTGTGTGCTCAAATACTACAGCATTTGTCTATGTCCTATCCTTCAATTAACTTCATAATTATACTTAATGCCTGTCATCTCTTAAAGTGTAGTTGACATATTGTACATAACTGGCACTATAAAACTTGGTGTCCACCATATCAAACTCAGCTCTGCCAGATAAAAAAAAATCTCATTAATGACCAAAAAAAAAAAAAAAACAAAAAAAAAATGACAGTGACAAAAAGAAACCATTTTATTTTTCATCTGCCTTATTCCTGTTAAATAAACCACACACAACTGTCAACGGACTGCTGGTATCCGCAAGATGAAGTCGCAGAAAAACTTTTTTAGCACAGTGCAAGGTAGAACAGACACGAGTCTGGATAGTTAGAATATTCAGCGTCTAAATTTGGACCAGCGGCATTGGGCAATGTAAACAAGAACGTGAAATCCTTCACGACATCACAAAACTGGTGCATTGCACGCGATCTATGCCGCCTGCGTCTGTCTAACCCTTTAGTCTTCATTTCACTGTGAATATTAACAATTTCCATCTTGCAAAATATTCTACAAAGGCTAGATTCCATCAGGAAACTTACCGATTTTTACCCGCAGTGTCTCTTGGATCCGCACTCCCCCCTCCATCTTCCGTTTCCTTCTAAATCTCGCGCTAGTCTTCGAGAATAAAACATGACCTTTGGTTGACGACCTTCACCCAATTTCAACAAACGTGGGCTGAACAGCTATATTTCACCAAATGTTGTTAAATTGAACAGTTGCAAGCAGAATGCCTAAAAATAAAGGAGGTGGGGGGAAAGGGGGAGGAGGAAAGGGGGCGGAGAAGGAAAGTAGCGGCGCAGAAGGTGGAAAAGGGAAGCAATCAAAAGGAGGAACGGCGGTTAAAGTACGAAGAATAACTCATTCAGTTTTCATTCAATAATTTTCTGATCACTAAGCCTTGGTTTGAGTGTTTTCTGTATCTTTGCTATGTTTTTTTACGTTTTCTGTGTCAAGTGTTGGTGCATTATTAACATCAGATGTTGGTGAAATTTTAGTATAATGATGTTGACATCAAGAATGATATGGAATGGTAGAATTTTAAAGAACTGCTGTAAAATTAAGTTTCATCCTAGCTGTTATCCTAATTTATGTCAAACATTTCTCCACTGCAATTCAAGGTGCGGCATATTCTCTGTGAAAAGCAGTCTAAAGTACTGGAAGCCATGGAGAAGCTTAAATCAGGGATGAAGTTTAACGAGGTGGCTGCACAATACAGTGAAGATAAAGCCAGATCAGGGGTAAAAATGCTCTTCCTATCATATTTCCGATTAATGATATAAAATAAAGAAATCATGCAGGATAAGATTTAAATTGTTTTTAAAATTGGGTTTCAAGGACTAACAATAAACAAAATTGATTCAAAAGAATATTTGATTTGAGTTTGAATCCAGAATTTTATATTCTTAGTCATCTTAGAATTGGAACTGCACCCTTCAAACAAAACAGTTCAAACATTTTCAGTTGAGGTTAATAACCACTACCAGTCAATCTGAATGTTTAAAATGATATTTATATGTGATGTATACTATCAGGTTACCTGTGGATCAAGAGGGCTGACTTAATCCTCATGAATGTCAGTTCTCTGCTCTTTTGGCTATTTAGTTACTATCATAAAGGGACAATTAATTTTTATCATATCTGATCACTTAGGCCGTATTCAGATTCACACAGCTGCTGAGTTGTTCTAACTCTGTGGAAAATTCTTGCTAAAGTACAATCAGTGGCTTTATTGTCTGACAAACCTCCTCAAACAGCACTAGAAAGTTAATTACCCCCTAGCTGCCCAAGGAGGTGTGTCACTCTTTTAAGCAGATTTTACGTGCAATGTTGGACTGATCCAACTAGTATGATGTAACTATCTAAATCCTCCCTTAAATTACGTTTTATTATTATTATTATTATTATTATTATTATTATTATTATTATAATTATAATTATTATTGTTGTTGTTGTTGTTGTTGTTGTTGTTGTTATTATTATTATTATTATTATTATTATTATATTATCAATTATAGAATAAATGTACCTTTCTCAGGGTGACCTAGGCTGGATGACCAGGGGAAGCATGGTGGGACCATTCCAGGAGGCAGCCTTTGCTCTCCAAGTCAGTAATCTACAGAACCCAGTTTACACTGATCCTCCCGTGAAGACAAAGTTTGGGTATCACATCATCATGGTGGAAGGCAAGAAGTAGGTCATGGTGACCTAAATTCTAGAGAACCGACAGTAATGGAAGCCTATAAAAAGAAGGGCTGTGAACTGGACTGTTTTTTTTACAGTAACGTAAATGACAGTTGATGAGGTTTGGAGCCGAAAATGGAGTGATATGTTTGTGATGTTCACTATGATTGGTTATTTAAGTGAGAATGTTGTGAGAAATTTTAGGAATGTTTTAGAGAACAGTTAAAGACCCACCGTCACCAAATTACATCATTTATGTAAGAGGCATTAAATCTGGAACCTGAATTGCAAACCTTTTTGTAAAACGATACTAAACTGTTGCTGGTCTGGAGGGAGGGGGATGGTGGGGAGAGGGGGGAGGGGGGGAGGGTGAGCATGGTGATGATTTTACGTTTCTAATATTTTCCCTGTTCAAGTGGTCATTTTTATCATTACAAGATGACTGTCATTTCATCGTTCATAATGTAATCAAAGTAACTTAAAATGCATTCATTTACTGTTAGGTATACAGTACGATATGTTTGGAGTCTCCCACCCTTGCGAAAGAAAAAATTCCTTGTTTTCATTGCACATGTAAAACAAGTATTTTCCACCCAGAATGGTTTTTAGCTGGTGTTGACATAGACACTGAACTGATCATTCAAATAGGAAGAAATAAGTAAAACTGTTTTGATTCCATTGGGAATATACTTATGTCTATATGCAGCATATTGTCAAGATGTTATTAATGCGATTTTCCTTTTATTTTGATTACTTAGGAAAAAGAAACTTCACATTTAAATGAAACTATGGAGTGACAGTCCCTATAGGGTTTGTGGACAGTTTCGCTTTGTGTTTAGAAGTTTCGGGAAACTCATTTTTAATAAAGCTTGATGTGTAAAGTGAAATTTAAATTATTTAACAGGAAAATAAACTAACATATTTTTACTTGGATGACTTTATGCCATTGATTGGTTACTACTCAATTTAGAAAAGAAATTGGTAAATAAAATGAAAAAGGGCCAGGTTAAGAAGAAATATTATGAAATTAAATTCTTCACATCCTTCACAATTTTAGAAATAGTCTCTCGGTTGAGGTATATAAAGGGCAAATGTCAAGCTGCAGTACCCTAAAATCATTTGTATTTTTAAATACAAAATTTATTGATTAAAGTAAATTCACTATTAACTAATGTACATGAAAAATATATTTTATTCAAGTAACACTGTCATATTTGTACAAAAATATGAGACCAGTAGTTTATATTAAAGTAAACGGTCACCTTCAATGTAAGAGGAAACAAGTGGATATTATAAGCATCAAGTTGCCTCTGTTGTTTTCAGTGATAATTATCTGTTATCGTAAGCAGCAAAGGCATACTGTTGACAGGGGCAAAATTTTATTGTTCTCTGAAGCTTGTGGTGCAGTGTATCAAAAATTGATTAAAAGTATAACAACTGTTCATTTTGGCCAAAAAAATGAATTTTCCTGGGGTAAAGGACAATTTTCCAATATTTACCAATGGTTTATGAAGCCATTTCTACGTTCAAAGTTAGTCCCTGTTTAAAAAATTGTTTTTTACAATAATCTCTTAAGAGCTTATTACAGTGTATAGCCATCTTTGGAGGTCACGTGACCCGATGACAAGCACAGATTTCAGAATAATTGCTATAACTGCCGCTTTTTTTTTTTTTTTTGTAAAATAGGATATATTATATTTCTATGAGTTGTTTACAATGTATTTATTGTAAAACATAGGTCTCATTTGAAGAGTTATTATCCCTTTAATTTAAATCAAAATTATGACAGGTAATACGGAAAGGATCCAGGTCAAATATCGCATATACAAAACTAAAAACGATTAGTGATGTGGCGGCTATGAAGGTCGTGTTGAATGCCTTGTTTCTAGACCAATGAAATACAAACCCTGAGGTCAATTTCAAGATAAAATTAATAAAATAATAATAATTAATTAATTAATAAAAGCAGACTAAGCTTTTTGGGTTACATGTTGTTCAAAAATTGTCCTAAATTTTGAACTAAGAAACTTCATAATACAGTCTAGCTTGACAGGCGATTTACCAGTTGTAGTAAAGAACAGCCCAAAACACCAATTTATTATCACTTTTAGTGAAACAGTCCCGTTATCCTTCTAACATGTTATACCACTCATGCACCCTAGGTAATTTTTTTCCGTTCCCGTTTTTAGAATGATGATTTTACACAGATGGTATATGTTATCACAAATGCGCAAGCCAAGGAGTTTCTGGTATCTACAATACAGTTGAAATGATATGGCACAAATGTGGAAAAATGTATTGAACCAAAGACGATGTAAAACGACTAACCACTATTCATGATCATGGAAGACTTGAGTAGCATATGTTTCCTTGCATTTGTAAGTGAATGAAATGCATAAGTCCACATATACAGATGTTATACATGTACATTTTCCACTGTACAGGATACCATGTACTTTGTACAAAAATATTACCAAACTAGTAGAAAAAAGTTGCCTCTGTATAAGTATAACCATATGCACAACATACTCAATAAAATGCACTACGGGGACATAAATTTAGGTAATCTTCATAGAGCATAGGTGTAACAAAAATATTCCTCCATCCACGAAAAAAAATTAGATGAAAAAAACCCACCAATATACGTGCATTATCAACATAAGGTATCACACGCGTACCCAGAGATTCAGCTCCGTTGCCTGTCATTTTCTTTATTTTCGAATCTGCATCTTCTCACGCTCATCCAATGTGGATATATCCAAATGAAGAAAGTAACTCACATTGGATGTAAAGCTCGGGGTACACACGTTGCGCTCCTTAAGATTTATGCCAAGTGAATATTAGAAAATGTGAAAAAAGCCATAAAACTAACCTACTTTAAAAACAATAAAATCGTTTTAAAAACGCAACAAAAACGCAAAAAGCACACTTTTCACACCCTAAAACTGCTCTTACTACGTAAGATTTTCTAATTCATATTTTTGTAACGTCACTTGTGAACAGTATGACGTCACCATTTTTAAATGACTGTTTGCTTCACAAAGTGAAAAATGAAATGGGCGAGTTCAATAAATCATGCCTTATATTATATTCTTGTCCTGGGCTCTCCACCGTGATACCGGAGCTATAACTAAAATAATTAGCAGACGATCAAACAACATTTTCGAAATTACAAGGTGCGATTGTGGTCGTCAACTGACGTCAGTTAGTTTATTTCCTTTTCCACTTAGTCCGGTCCTGAAATAAGCCGATCCCGACATGAAACTCCATGCAGACGCTCTGGAATTGACGCGTCGAACTTTCCTGGAATAACTCCGATTGTCTAAGATCTGCTTGTCGTACGTATCCCTTGCGTCCACCCTCTTCAGTCAGTCGTTTTAGGATTTAAACAGCTACAGCAGCCAGCGGAAGGTTTCTTTGGAGGTGACGGATTCCCGCTGGGATTACCACCGGGATTTCTAGAAGATGGGGTGTCCGGTGACGATGCAGGACTTCCCGTGTCGCCCGTGGTCGCGGCGGTGTCGTCCGCGGGCGACCACCACCACAGCTTTATTTCATTCGCCATAGCGCGTGTGATCCTGCACGCGGAGTTCTCTCTGTTGCCGCCGTACGCGTGAATACCGACCACTTTCCAGTTATATACATTCCAAGTCCATACCGGGCTACCGCTGTTCCCTGCGGTTGTGTCTGTGGTATAACCGAACATACGGGAAGACACGCCCTCCACCATCCCGCCACCAATCCACATCGTCGAGTCAGGTTTGTCGCCTGGGAAACCACACACGTGCACAACGCGGCGACGGAATTCGGAATCCGAAAGAAATTCGGAGCCGAAGCCGTAACCGACATCCGACGGAATGGTAGCCCTTATACTGGAATCTTTGACGAAAATGGCGCCATAATCATCGTCGGGCAGCTCCTTCTCCACATAAGCTTGGCTTACGCGGAAGCTATCCTTTGAAACAGTGAACTGTCCGAAGGGAGCGCTTTCCCCGTCTCGTGCTGGTATCACAGTGACGCTTTTCATGTACCCGCCGTGTTTTCGAGAATAAAGATTGTGTCCGCATGTGAGAATCACGAACCTATACCCTGGACCTAAAATGTTACTGAAAAATCCAGTCCCTCGGAAATATTTTCCGTTGGCGGTTTGAATATGTAAGTAGCACACCCAGCGGTATGGAGGTGATTTTGTAGGGCTAACTCTAAGGCGGTCATCGACTCCAATGACGTTCTCGGGAACCGGAGATGTCGGCGTGCTTGTTGAACTCGTAGAGCTCGTGGTGCGTGTTTTTTTCGTGCTGTCGATAGGTTTTAGGTTATTCACTTTCACCGTTTTGCTTCCGCCGAAATCAACTGTGACGTCATCTGTGACGTCAGCTGGCGGAGCGGGTCGAATGGTATTTGGATCTGGAAATATGACATAATTTTCATTCATTTTCAATCATTGTGCCTTAATTTGAAATAAGCTCTGACAAAATGTTTAGGAGAGAGAGAGAGAGAGAGAGAGAAATGCCAAAAGAAATACTACAAGCACATGTCCTATTAAAACGACCGTTCGTTTCTTCAAGCACATGTCCTATTAAAACGACCGTTCGTTTCTTCATGCAATTAACAGTGACAGCGTGGAATGGTGAAATGGACCCCCCCCCCCCCCCATTCTGCTATTTCCAACACATACCGTCATCCCGGTGAACCCAAGGGGTGTTCTCCGTCTCCTTTACATCCACTCGTATGTCTGACTCGGACTAAAAATTAAGAGTACATAATATTACTTGACAATGAGGGTTGGCATTTTGTCATTTTGTATTTGCACTGTTAACAGCATTTTCATTTTTTTTATATAAACAGTATATGTGTCACAGTGTGCTCAGCGTCTCGTTATTCAATTCGTGTTTACAATGTGCTGATAAAAAAGCTGCAAAACAAATAAACTGAAACAAATATACTCCACTTTATTGTTATATGGTCAACACTTGAGATAACAGATCCTACATTGTGAAAAAGCTTTTTGTCGAGTAGAAATGGAAGAAAAGAAAATGAAAAGTAAAGAGAAACGTCGTGCTCCTACAGGGAAAACAGATTTAGTTTCTTTAGCAATGATTTACTTTTTTTACCATAAATCCTTTATGTCAACATAACACTGTGTGCAATGTTGGCAGGACATAACTCGAGCACAATTGCTGTACACAGTGAAAAATTATTTAGCTGAAATATTGTCTATTTATTATATAAGGCAAAATCCTTATATTGAGAGTTAAATCTTCCTATGCCTTAAAAGACTTAATCATACATGCATGTATCATAGAACCGTAGCGACTATGAACTGAAAAATAGGCCTACGACAACTCCTACACGAGTCTTATCCCATAAACATGGGCAAGGCCCTCTGTTAATTCTTCTTTGATGTGACTCACACCCTTTTTAGAGAAAAGGGACAAGCGTTTATCATGTTATCATCTTTCTTCGGAGAAGTGTGTGTGTGTGTGTGTGTGTGTGTGTGTGAGAGAGAGAGAGAGAGAGAGAGAGAGAGAGAGAAAGGGAGAGAGAGAGGTCGTCAACAAGCATTTCAGGGACCCTGAATACTGACAAGAATTCTACTCTAGGCGTGACACATTTTAAGCATTGCAATAAGGAGGCGGCTAGGGTACACTGGGGAAGAGAAGAGTTACCCTGAAGACCTCGTGATGCAGGCTGGCCTATGTAGGCGGGATGACATGTCGGAGCGACTTTAAACGGCGACAGGTCATGCAGGCCCGTAGCCAGGGGGGGTTCGGGGGTTCGAAAGAATCCCCCTTTTTGCAGGGAAAAGGTCCCCTCTGGGTGAAATTTAATTAAGGTACATGAAAGTTTCATGGTAAAAGGTCCACTTTTTCAGAAAAAGAACCCCCCTTTTGAAATTTCTGGCTACGGGCCTGTCATGTGAATGATGGTCAAACAAGTTTTCAATGTTAATCTGCAGATAGCGGTAATGATCATATATCAGTTTGAAGTATATTCTAAAAGTAGTTTCTATGCAATAACATAGATACTATCTGTAACCTAAAGTATAGAAACTAACTAACAGAATTTAAGAAAGACGTTATGCTTAAAAATCTTTTCAATATAATTTGTTAAAATACAGGCCAACTTTTCTCTATAACTTGCAACAAATTCCAAGAAGGTCGGTTCCCCAGCAGAAATCCCCCTCCCCTGTAAAAATCTAAGGCTGAAAATAGACAATTCCAAATATAAATTAAGCCCGTTCATTTAGAAAAGGTCTTTGTCCTCTTTTTGTTTCCCTTTTTTCTTTACATTCGTAATTAGAACAGAATACATAAAATTCAGAACAAAGCTGTTATTTTATTTAAGTACATGCCTTATATTTCAAGAAATATGCTAGGCGAAGTGCGTCTCATAACTCGCTTTAAGCTTTTTGAAGTGATCCCTGACTGTCGTTCTATGCATACAATAAGAACTGAAACGAGACTAGGGTTTGGATAAAAGGCCATGATATATATCAGATTTTTATGCTAAATGTAGTCAAAATATACAAGGAATGTGGTTAGTATAATATATCATTATAATGCAGTGTGTGGTTGTACCTGCTCAAACGGCACTGAGCGTCTATTAAAGAGTAACATGCGATGCTCGTTCTTAAGCTTTAGGTACTCTCCGCCCACAGGTGGGTTGAGTTGACACGATTACAATTGTCACATTTACATCAAGGAGTGGTGACAGAAAAAAATCCTCGAGCCACGTTCAAACTGGTTTGTGACCCCATACAATTTTTCCAGGGGCGTATGATTATCTACAGAAAAATGGCGCTCATGACAAGCACGTCCTACATATACAATTGCACCCGGTGTAAAGATATGGCACTATTTTTTTCTCTTTTGTTAGATAACACTATATAGAATGATATCCCCTTCCCTCTGCCAGGGCTACAGATTGATTTTTCACTAGATATTCAAGATATGTCTCTGGTTAAATTCACGGTTATTTTCTGTACTGCGATCGCGAAAATGTCCACAAAATAATAACTGCGGCCCTGGTGTAGGGTACCCCCTCCCCCCTTTCAGGAGACGCCCATGGCCAGGACCAATGCCCCTCCGGGCAAACCGTAGATACACCTATAACTATTTTGGGTCTATGGGTCAGTATACAATGTACAAGCAGATTAACGGAATTAAACTGACCACTGGTTTTAAAACATGAACCTGCAACCTGAAACGTGTCTTCCAGTTCACAGAGACCTCCCACTTGACCTCGGACTGTAAAACCTTGTTGACTGTATTCTGTTATCTTGCATTTTTTAAGCAATAACTCTGAAGTATAAAAGCCGTACAACTTTGTGACTCTCTCACTTTGTGTATGTGTGTGTGTGTGTGTGTGTGTGTATGTGTGTGTGTGTGGGGGGGGTGTCTTGGTATCGGGCGTGAAAGAAAAACTGAAAGGCATGTTTCATAATGATGATATGGTGCCGATACTTCAAGCGTAATATGCCTATTCAAGCAGTTTTGATACAATATACGGTGTGAAAAAGATCTCTATTTTTTTCAGTGGCATTTTATTTGATGCATTCGTGGCTTAAAAATGTCTCACTGGTTTCTTTTTCAGCACAGTGTTATTCCTGATGACCTAACGTCTTTGTGTAGAAATTAAAATACACGACTTGGAGAGAGAGAGGGGAGGGAGGGAGACAATTGATACTTGTAGGATAATAATAATTTTACTACAAAACATCTCTCCAAAAAGTCAGAGAGGAAGATACAGGTACTACATGTACATATTGTCACTTATCCAGTTCAATCAGATTCAGGTACAGGTATGTCCAGTATGATGTGATAGGCAGAGAATCGTGTTATTTCCACAGAATATAAAAACGAAACAGACGACATAAGACACTGTCATCAAAGTCAAAAAGTGTATGACACATAAATCTAGCACCAGTACTTGTGTACCTCCAACATGCACCATCATCCATCAAGAGTGAAAACCAAGAACAGGTAAACTACTGGCTTTACGCAGTCTAACTCGTCACCTTTAACTTCCGCGTCGTTAGAGCGCTTAAAATATATATATCAGCGCTCCTACATGCATCGCGACACGAATCCACTCAAGATTATAGGCGACACAGGACATTGCATTTAAAACGCTCGTAGCATGATGTTGGACGGTGTTCCGGTTACCTGTAGTTCATGGGGTCAGTCACGGTGTGTGTGTGTGTATTAAAATCGACTTCTCTGCCTAGCGTAAAACGCTACGCTTATTTTGAATTTTTCATACGGTGGCGTTGCGATCCCGATTTCAATATAAAATGCTCTGTAGATTTGTAGCATGCGAGTTGTATGAGAGAGAGAGAGAGAGAGAGAGAGAGAGGGCGAAGGCAGGGGGGAGGGAGGGGCCTAATTGTAATTCTGATGCAGTTGTGACTGAAACATATATCCTTAATCCCGCTGTTAATAAGACTTATGTATAAGGCCATCATCATTTACCTGTCTGTGAGTTTAAGTCAAGTTGTAGTTTTATGCGTAACCTCTCTTAGGTACGTTACTTTAGGTGTCAGCGCACCTGATTTACCTGGGTTTAGACTTTCACAAACACGGCCATATCAGCGTACCTTACTACGACCCACCTGTGTGCCGCCTACATGCTTATACAGTGTACCTGTGGAATGTTCAATTTACCTGACATTAAAAACATACTCACAGCCTCTTCCGTCATAACTGCAGGGGTCGGGTGTCCTTGGCTAATTCAAATCACCGGTGTCTGACTTCTAGAGTGTGTGTGTTATAATTTGTTAGTCACAATCATCATAGGCGTAGGGACGGTTAGGGGGGTTCCGTGGCGCAACGGTGACACCTCTCAAAGCGCGCGACGACTGCACCAAACGCGGTCACGGTTGTTACTAGCCTTGACAGTGTATTAAGCGGAAGTTCAGTGTATAATAGAATAAGGGCGCATGCTCGTGTTGTTGACGCTTGACTGGATCTAAGGGTTTTATTTACATGCTGTAGACTATGGACGATTGGGGCATGTTTATTTAGCCTTGTTTAAGCGTCTCGCCTCTGAAGTACATAAACCGTGTAATAGAGAGAGCATTAATTTCTCTCTTCTAAATCATTGGCGCTTTCAACCTTTTCTGCGGGTCGGGGTCGAGTATTTTATATATATATATATATATATATATATATATATATATATATATGGACCATGTCGCCTTCTTAGGCTGATATAGTATAGAAATGCTCATAACCGTTTTATTCTTAATGTGATTGCAATTCAAGATTAAATTGCTGTTGTTGCTGGTAAAAGTCGTATCTGTAGCTTTCTGTTGGTTAATTATTTTAACAGAATATAAATACCTTAGAAATCACCAGGGGCATACATGTTATGAAATAATGAAGAAGAACAAAGAAAGGCGGGTTTTACACGAGAAGAACGAATGCGAAAAAGAACAATTAAAATGGTACGATATCTTCCACAAAGACCATTGGTCTTTCAGAACTGCCTCCCGTAACCAACTGATGAAAGGGCAACGCTATGGGATTTTACCGCCAACACTGATTTTTTCCAGGGAAATAAACATTTTTTCGTACTCAAGAATTGTGTATCTATCCCCCTCTGCACTTGGATTCGACCTTTAATTAAATTTATAAAAGTTGATTTAGTTTAAAATGACTGGCAAGTCATTAAAATAAGCAACATCTTCCTATATGCTCCTATGTGAATATCAACAACAAGTACGCACCAGGAAAAATATTTTAAGGGGTTAAATCTTTTTAAAGCTGTAGAGAAGTTGCTGACAATACTACAAATCTGGTAGAACATACGATTTTCCGCAGAGCTGTAATCTTATCAGCTACAAAACAGACTGGTATGCCTGTGTCCCAGATTGAAGTGCTGTGTTAGTGTCATTTTCGGCTAAGAATGCAAAAGTTTAAAATACACATCAATGTTTGGAAACATAAAATTTTTTGTTATGATAAGAAAAATCCATCCCCTTTCACCTGATAGCACCACCATTGCAATCCAACGCATAGAAATATTTTCGCAGACTTTCAAAGATGATCGCCCAATGCTGTTACCCAGTACCATGGGTGTCATGTGGGGACGCTAAATGTCTTAACAAGGCCAAACAAAACTGATAAATTTGTTGACGAAAATAAACCTATAATTATATAATGAGATAATTACTGTTGCATCAAAAATTAAAGTCTGGGAGAATTTGCTAATTCTAGCTGATGACGTAACAGCTGCATTTTTCGGGGTGAAAATGAAAATCACACATTAAATTGGATAGGAATTACTTGAATGCCACGTTAACGCCAATTTAATCACAGCAGTGAGCATCAAATTGTGATGCAATGAAAATTTCTTGAAAGATTTAGTAACGAGTTTATATGTTAAGAAAACTAATAAAACATCGTGATTAGGGTCCTAAATCCCCTAAGCAAAAAATATCTTAAACCAGACGTTGGCATCGTCGACCATGCCAATTTTTAATGATAAAATCTAGGATTGTGTTTAGATAAAGAAATCCCACTAGCTGGATCGATCCAACTCTGCTGGGGGTTCTCACTAAAGTGCATTCAGTGTAATCAGCTTAATTGTCTGGTTCTATCTGAACGCTCCCTTACTTAAGCCTAGATAATACATGTATTTGCCGTGCGGTGTTAGAATGGCGCTCGTGCACTTTCCGTAAGTCCATTTCGTGCGGCGTCTATGCGGAGGAACATAGGCGGTGTATTTCCACCACGGGGATATTTTAATCTGTTACTCTCTTATTAGCTCTGACGGATTTTCTCATACAGTATTCCTCTGTTCGTTGCCATTTTAGAAATAGTTGGTCTCCTTCCCCTTTTTTTAGGCCTCATAAACGATAATTGCCTTTTATAACACGAGCCTTAAAGTCGGAAGCACAAATGCACAATTTATCGACTTCAGTCATGAATTAACTACACCAATATAGAATTACTTGTCACCGACACCAAAGACGTTTCGATCTTTTAGGAAGACGGACTGAAAGTGCGGCAACTGCACTGAAACTGAAAGGGCTCCGCACGATCACTTTTCAACTGACAAACCGATTTCCCCTTCATGACCAAAAAGTCATGTTGGAAAAATTGCATGGCAAACAGGCGTTACCTCAGCATACCCACCTTGCGATGTCACAAAAATTCGCGCGGCAAAACGTTTACGATTTCATCGTGCGGCGCAAATGTTATCTAGGCTCTAGTGCCTCTCCCTGTAAGGGAATTACCTGGTCACTGTTTGTAATGTTATTGCCTATAGTGACTTTGTCTGTAATGGCATTGCTTATTGCCTATGTCCGTAACAGAATTACCCCCGTATCTCGAAAGCATCGCGTATTGCGAATAGCTATATCAAATAGAGGCTACAATGTTTTATATAGGACGAGTATGGGCGAGTTATGGAATCGAGACGCTTGCGCGCGGTCGCAATGCGCGATGCTTTCGAGATACGGGGCCCTGGTGACTCTGTCTGTAATATAACTGTCTGGTAGTTTTAATTTTTTCTTTTTAACGAGAAGTTTGGCGTGATTTAAATGTTCGCTAAAAGGAAACTACTGGTGTTCTTGACAATGAAATGTGACATTTGTAGATGCACATAAAAACCATCGATAAATTAATAAATAAAAGCTGTCTATTAAAAGCATGTTAGGACCACCTGGTGATTAACGATCATCATAAATAATACTAGAATTACAATATATATCGAATGCGCATTGCTGTAAAATAAGCACTTTGTATTTCGGAGGTGAGGAGTGTGAAAATATCAGCATACTATTGGTGCGCATGAAATGGCAAGCCCTGTTAGACTGAAGTGTGTGTTTTTTAACATCTTGCTTGTCATTACTTGCTGGACCGCTGTCAACGTCCTCATTGTAAACTATGGTCTGTCCATGAAAGGCGTAGATGACACATACAAGGAGAATTCTCCATCTGATAGATTAAATAATCTGGAATTAAGCATCGTCCGCCGTGAAGCCACCACAGATAATAAGGGAAGGGAAGGAAGATACCTACCTGCCACCAACCAAGTCAATTTAAAAACACTAATTCTTATGGCAAATCAAAATAAAGTAGACCTCATGCAGCACCTACAGAAAAAGAATTCGAGTATTACGCTGGATCGGGATTCAAGTGTCATCAATGTGGCGAGAAAACAGATCGGATCTCTGACCCAAAACAAGGTACTTCAGGTTAGGGAAAAGTCTATTCTGTTTTGGAACGGTTATCAGAATTTTTGCAAAGAAAAGTTCGGGCCTCCATTTCGTTCGTGCCCCATAAATGCTTGTTCTTTGACTGTGGATCGAAGACAGTCAAAAGCCGCTGATGCCATCATATTTAACCTAGCTGCTCAAGCGTTTAAAAATGAATGTCAGGGAGTGGAACCGAAATGTGAAATTCCAAATGTGAAACCCAGCCACCAGGTTTGGGTATTTTTCTCCATAGAGCCACCTTGTCAAACAAATGTATACGGCCATTTGAATAAAGAGGTGCTTCTTAATTCGTTTAACTGGACGTTTACTTACAGGATGGATTCAGATATATGGTCGCCTTATGGCATGATTATAAGACGTGACAAGCCTTTAAAACGAAACTTCTCCGAAAGTGTTAAATCTAAAACTAAGCTTGTCGCATGGGTTGTGAGTGATTGCGTCACTTGGAGCAGGAGAGAGGAGTACGTGGCAGAGCTGATGAAGTATATCGATGTCGATATTCTAGGCGAATGTGGAAGACCGTGTATATCTTGTTGGAGTTACGTGAACGCTACCTACAAATTCTACCTGGCCTTTGAAAACAGTTTTGCAGTGGACTACCTGACCGAGAAATTTTTCAGAACGTGGCACTTGGATGTCGTCCTGGTAACGAGAAGCGGTGCCAACTATTCACGGTTTGGCATAAGACCAGAAATGCATATTGACACCTCAAATTTCTCATCCCCTAAAGAGCTGGCGAATTACCTTCTTTTATTAGATAAGAACGACTCCCTGTATCTTCCGTACTTAGAGTGGAAAAACACCCACGTGTCAACCAGACCATTGGAATCCCGCTACATGAATTGGTGCGGTTTATGTGAAAAGGTGCACGAAGAGCCAAAAACGTCAAAAGTTTACACCAAACGAGAGCTTCTTGATTGGCAGTATGGATATGGAGAGATCAAAGGCTGTTACCATGCAACAGACATAGTTGGCCCGGCGCAAAACTGCACCAAGATTAATAAAAGAACATGTGTTTAAAACTGAAAAAATGAAAGTACAAACCTAGTTTTTTCTTTTTGGCCTGATCAATGATGTTTTTATAAATCATTCGGTTATCATTCCATCTATAACATCTACGTCTTCCAGATTTGGCTGTACAAGGTAAAAGTACCCTGGGTTTTACAGTTCCCTAAAAGGCAAACTATGTGTCCATCGGAAGGGGCAAAATCGTGTTGAAAATTCATTGGATATACAGTCTCGGGCATACTTTGAAATTCAGGTGAAAAGGCACACACACACACACACACACACACACACACTAAAAACTAGTGTTTTGAATCAATTAATTGCTACGGGTAACTAATAAGGGACTGGTTGTGCAGAGCGAGAAAGATCTGGGTAACATTACCAGATTAAGGGAGGAAGAACAAGCCGTAATTTGTCAACGCCGGCATATTCCATGACAGTAGAGGAAGAATTCATTTTAGATGGAGAAAGTTGTGAAGTTGTGAATAATCTTGGGATATATAGTTAACAAGGAGGATCCTTCATATTATCCAGGTGATAGGGAGTCTCTTCACCAACTAAATATTGCCAATTTCTGCCAAGTTCGACTCTTTGTAGCATATCTGTAGACGAAATGGACTAGGCACATGTGTATTTTGCAACCCTCGCAGTGCTATAATCAAAGAAACCGAAGAGACTAGCACGCACTATTTTAAAACTGTTGTTTGATGGTTATAACTTTTGGGTATGTGTAAAGTTAAGAAAATGCACTGTGTTGATTATTTATTGAGTCTTATTTTAAATAGAAAATGTTTTTTATCTTTAACTGGACTCTCAAATGAAGTTTTGCCAACTATTACGCAACTATTTTCTAGTCAAAATGTTTTACGCCCTCTCGTTGATATTTTAAATAGATATTTAGATATTTTGATTTTAAACTTGATATTTTTGTTGAACAGCAGGGCTTTCATAAAGTATCATCATCAATTGAAAAAAAGACGGATTTCATTTCATTCTCCATGATTTAGGGCTCATTTAGGGCTCAACTCAACTGAGCCCTAAATGACCATCTATCTAGCTAGAGACATATCTGTGAATATCTGTAAAAAATCTATCACTCGCCCTGGTAGAGGGTACTAGTGTGGAGTCAATTAAAATTTAGACATATGATCATCTTTATGAAAAAGCAAATGGCATCTGGGATGGTATATTGGTTGATGGCGAGTACAATGTGTAGTGCTTCTCAACAAAACCAGAGAGAATGACAAATCTTCAGGCAGATCAACAATCATTTATGTTTTTATTTTTATCATTATCGGGGTTTTATTACAGCAAGTTAAAATGTATAAAGTTTAGGGGTCACCTCTGCATGTATATACGTGGTTTGAGACTCACCTCTCCACGGGAAACGAGTATTTAATTCAATAAATGCACAGTAATGACAAAATCTGTTGAATTAGTTAGTATCAGGAATACATCATCTCTCTCATTGAAACACACCACCGGCAAGTAACTCGTATAACTATTACAGTGCAAAGTGGTCACTTTAATTCTGTGCAGTACAATAACCCCCTTAACGTTACATCTACGTATGTTCTTCATCTATGTATTTTGTTCTTCACTAGTCTCTTAAATTATCTCTTTTTTTTCTTTGTAACATCAACTTCTCACATCCCATTGAAACATTAATATAGCCTATACTTCAACTGCAGAAAAACACTCGATCCCGGTGTAACGTGACAGAGAGTCCCCCATGGCAGAGTCCGCTTCCCATTCATTTGTACAGGTGAGCCTCGCCCTAGTTTTTGACCCACTTAGGTCAAACTAACCCTAACCGTTATAACTATATGGAGGGCGGACTTTCTGTTACACGGACCCTCAGTTTCATTACACCGGCGCGCCTCGATATACAATTTCGCGCTTACAAGTATGTCGCATACAGTGGACGACTCGTGTTGTAACTATCACGCAGCAAATGCAACAGTCGGGCAATAATTTGCATTATATTATACCAGATATTAAAACAAGCTTGTATGCAGGGAACTAGAAAATGACTTCTCACCAAATACCGAAAGTCACAATTTAAGGTTATCTTGGCTTATTGACTTGACGGGTGACTTGAAAACACCTTTCTTCAAATCTTATTAATTGATTTGCATGCACATTCTAAAATGAGGATGTACTTATCGGGTGACTCGAAAAAAGTTAAAAGAATACTTGGAGTAATAATAAAATAAAATAAAATACGCTTAGTTGCGTTGTGCATTCGTAATAAAATTGGATTATCATTAAAGTGAATATTGTGAATCATTCTGCTGTATTATACTGTTCTATTCTTGCATTGTATTCGTAGGCTAATATCATAACAGACACCAAGAGGTGAAAAGACTACTCATCAACAAATGTTGCCGTGTCACAAGTTAGATCTAAGGCTGTCGTGACTAATTGACTTCACGGAAGAATTGAAAACACCTGTCTCTTTCAAATCTCATTAATTGATTTACATGTGCTTATCGGGTGACTTGATAAAGGTTAAAAGGATACTTGAGTTAAAATAAAATAAAATAAAATAAAATACGCTTCGGTGCGTTGGCATTCGTAATAAAATTGCATTAGTATTAAAGTGAATAATGTGAATCATTCTGCTGTATTATACTGTTCTATTCTTGCATTATATTCGTAGGCTAATATTATAACAGACACCAAGAGGTGAAAAGACTACTCATCAACAAATGTTGCCGTGTCACAAGTTAGATCTAAGGCTGTCGTGACTAATTGACTTCACGGAAGAATTGAAAACATCTGTCTCTTTCAAATCTCATTAATTGATTTACATGCACGTTCTAAAATGAGGTGTTAATGGTCTTATCCGGTGACTTGATTAAGGTTAAAAGGATAACTGGAATTAAAATAAAATAAAATAAAATAAAATAAAATAAAATAAAATAAAATAAAAATAAATAAAAATAAAATAAAATAAAATAAAATATGCTTCGGTGCGTTGTGCATTCGTTATAATATTGCATTAGCATTAAACACTGAGAATAAAATCGGAGATCAAGTGACTCTAAACTTGGCGTCCAGCAGTGGTGCCTAAAATAACTCCCAATTGGAGTCAAGTTGACAAATACTTTATTATTATTATTATAATATTATTATTATATCATTATGCAATTCGCCAGGATAAATAATCTGCCACAGGATTTAAAAAGCAATGATAATTTTCAGAAGTATCTAGTGTGCCCAATGCTTAGTGTGAGTTGATTGCTTATTTACAGATTGCGCAATGCCGGTGATTGTGCAACGCCGGTGATTGCGCAATGCCGGTGATTCATGTGTGGCGAAAAGATCATCCAATAATTTATGTAAATGTTAGGAGCATATTTTGCGCTGCTATGAAAATCAATATAAATTTTTTTAGACGTTATATATGGCAATGCTAGTTGATTCGATGAGCTTTTTCACAGTGCCGCAGGTGCGAGAGGACAGGAAAATAGAAGTGGCAACAACTAAAATGAAAGACGATTCACAAAATGTGTGCATACATATATAGTCAGGCTTTTCTAAAGCAAAATCAGGACAAAAAAAAAAAAAAAACAACACATACATCCAGCAGACTAATATTAACATTTTTACTTCATTATATATGAAATTATCACAGACAGGAATCTGATGAAATCAAATGAAATGTCTACTCGCGCTCCACTCATAAAAGTGAAACGCTCTAAAAAGATAATAATAATAGAAATTACAAAAAATAAATAAATAAAATAAATGAATAAATAGACATCACTTTCTTAAAAAAGTTAAAGCCAAATTTAGAATGAGTTCAGAAATTACATGTACTTGGTGACCAATGTCTAGTTACTCTCAACCCAAACCCACACCAAACTCACTAACGCACGTGTAAAAGCGAAAGCCATCAAACATATAACTATCCTGTGTAAATCACTGGAAGTTCTCGTCGTTTCACGCGAGTCTAAGATCAAATCGCTGATTAGTTCAAACTTTCGCACATCTGACATTTTTAAACATCTGTTTAAGAACTCTGTTAAACAGTCGTCTCCTTTTTGGCACGTGTTGGTTTAAAACGCGCGTCCGTTGCATCTGTGGATAGCGGCGTCGCAAGCACCGCTGGTAAGGGATTTTCCTTCGGAGCACTCTCTGCTGACAAAGCCCCCAAGCGGGAAATCTCACGTGACCACTTAAATACGTCATTGAGTACCTCCTTGTTGATTCGCCTGGCAGAGTTGTATGTACCACGCCCGTAACCATGGATACCTATGACGACCCAGTCTTGGTAGTACCAAGTCCAGACGGGACTTCCGCTCTGGCCGCCTGCTGTATCGGTGTCGTAATCGAACATCCGGTCACGTGCCCTAGATATCCTTCCGCCCCCTATCCACAGCGTTCCGTCGGATTTGTCACCCGGATAACCACAGATGTTAACCACTCTATTCTGGAGGGCTTCATCGGGGAGAAGATTGTACCCAAAGCCGTAGGAATCCCTTGGCAATGCTGCCCGGACTCTGTTTGTATCACTTACAAATATGGCGCCATAGTCATGCACGGAAGCGTCTCTACCTAAAAAAGGAACAATACCATGTACACACGGACTGACATAAAGCCATCACTGATGTGTAGTTTGACTCATACGGGAATACTTCTAACGAATGTGTTGTGTATGTCTTGTGTTAAGTCATCAAAGTAATTTCATTTGTAGACTACAGTTTATCAATACAGCAGATTTTTTAAAATAATCATTACTTCCTGAAGTGATATTCCTCATATAAAGATCACTGGCCCGGAAGCTAGAGGGGTACACTGTAAAGTGCCCGTATGGTAGCTGCCACGTGTCTCGGCCGGGGTACACCTTCACTTTCTGCACATACGCTCCTTTGATGAAAAAACAGTACCAAAATTTTATTTTACGACAAAATCAAAAATTGATTTACCTTGGAAAGATGTAATGAAACAGCAATGGATAGAAATTTTATCCAGGTACATGTACTAACATTTGACGTGTATTCTGACTTCTTAGACTAAGAGGCTTACAATTTGTATGCAATGCTGAAAAATAGGCCCTACATATTAATCACAAAAGTGATATTTTCATAATATATTTTTTGACTTTACCAACAAATTCGATGGCGTTTTAATCTCATTAAAAAGTTTTGAAATAAACAATTATACTTTTACGTCTTATTTACAACAAATACTTTCGAACTATGTAACAATATATAGAAATGCGTCCTTTTTTCAAAACTCAACGCACCTTCAATGAATAAGTTGTGTGCGCATGTCAGGATGACCAGGTCACGTGATGTCCCCCGCAGAGCTGTACAAAAGAAACCGGTGCCCTTGTAGCGATCGTTGCCAGCGTAAATCTCAAGGTAGCAAATCCACTTGTAAGGGGGTGAGGTACAGGGAGAGACGCGGAGGCGTTCGTCTGCCATCACGACGTGCTCCATCTCGGGCGGTCGTCTGAATTTATAAAAACAATGTTGTTTATACAACACAGGCCTAATTTCAAAGTGACTTATCATCCTAGAAATAACTTTCATTGGTAGAACAAGACCTGGTATATATGACATATATACTTGATAGTGTTATTCAAAATTGATTTATTCGGGCCGTTATCAAAGATATAAGAAAGACTTAAGACCATAATCCTAAGGAAAGGTAGTTGTAATATCACTATATTCCTCATATTATAGTGATTATACAGTTTATTTATGCATGCGTTAGATTAAGTTGAGGGTTAGTTTTGTATTCGGACTATCCTCCAGTTTTAATTTTTCCCAAACAAGAATAAGATAAAATGCACATGAAACGTTTATCCCGGATCTTCCCAGCCTCGATGCTTTAGATATTTCAATATAAATATTTTTTAATTAAAACTAAGTTCATAAAAGCCATAAACTCTTGTTTGTTGTCTGTTGCCGATGAAAACTGACCCCCCCCAATTTTATCTAACGCATGCATAAATAAAATCATTATGATACTCACATGACTTCAATGTCTTCTAGGATCAACGGTGACTCTTTCAGGTTCTTCACGGCTTTCTGTTTCTTGGGACCAAAACTGACCTCCACATCGTCCACATCACTGGCGGCCTGCATTGACCTCGGCTCCTCGGAACTTTGATCTTTTGGGAAAATAAATGCCATAAATTGACAATAAAATGCTATAATGCTAAGGGTTTTAAAAAAAAAAAAAAATCAAAAATCAAGCGTCAGAATAAAATTATAATGCTGATTTTTTTCAAAGTAAAATCCAACACCATTCACTTAATACATGGACAAAGTTCAGAAATCTCGATTGCAATGGCGACACCAGAGATGCATTTCAACTTGAATTAAAATAACTTTCTTTCAGTTTTGTTCATAGATTGATGAAATAAGTCTACGCGTAATTTTCAGCGCCATTTTTGAGCAGGACCAAAATCTCTATATATATCTAGCATTTCCCACATTCTTGTTTACACTGATCATATTTTTTTATTATGAGTTCGGTATATGTCCATTCATACACACCCGACGTCATGTTGTCTTCATTTTTCTCTTTGTCCTTCATTTTCCCATTTGTTTCTAGTCTTGTCCTGTTAATAAACAACGTTTTCTGTGAAAAAAAAAAAAAAAAAGCATGACGTAAGCTGTGTTTTGCACATATAATGAAACAGAAATGTACTTCACTCAACAGGAAGTACTGAAATTGCTGTTGTTTACTCCAACATAGCGGTCTCTATCTAGAGCACCTTCATCAGGGAATGAGACTATCTAGGGGGAAATAGCCTCTACCCAGGTAATTTATAGGTATAGGAGCCGGGTGCCAGTCTCAATAGAAATGATAGGGCCTCCCTCCCTGGACTGGATCAGGTTTTTTTTTCTACGGTATTTCTGAGGCAGTGGGTATTGAGGTGAGGGTAGGGGTGGGTGGGAGCAAGTTCATCTCCTGGATAGACTCATTCTCAGATGGAAATGCTATAAATAGTACTCGAAATATAAGAGATAAACAATAATTTCTGTGCTAGCTGTTGGTCGAAGAAAAATTACCCTTTATTTGCAATGTAGACAATATAAAATACATTGCAATAAGCTGATATTAAAGCTAATTAAGATAATATCATACTTTGCTATAGTTATGCTGCATTGACTGAGTACTTCTTCCTAAAAGACCCAAAATCGCTGATGTGAGGACACCTACATGTATATTGCCTCTCATCTTCACAATACATTATCATGAACTTAATCTTTAAGTGTATAAGATTCTCTTTGCAATATGAAGCTCTGACTCATATAACTGATATCCTGTTAATATTTAAGTACTAGTAGATACATGTATGATTCCATTTGGTATATTTTTATGAAATATATTCCTCTATTAATTCGTAGAATCGTGTCAATATGGGTGATAAATGCAATATGGATAATAAAATCATTAGGCCTAAATGAAAGAATTATCGACGTAGAATGAAATACAGCTCTGTTCTGATGGGGCTGTTGAATCTACTAAGTGAAACTAATCAACTCGATGACTCATTCATTATATTGAAACATGTTGGATGCTCACCTAAAAATAAATAAAGCGGAGGAGTAAAGTACTGGTGGTTTACTGTAAATGGAACCCATTCCTAGCCTGTGGAGTAAGTTCAACCAAGGGTTTGGAAGTCAGGGTGAAAAATAGCTACTGCCTGTATGGAAAACCTCGTTTTCAGGGTACTCACTTTACCCTCTATCAGGGTGGCATATATTAGAGGCACATTTTCCACAGTTAGAAGATTTACCATATCTAGCCCTTGGACATAATAACGATTTTGTCCATGTCTAGCCAGAGATATTATCTTTGAACATCTAGTGATAAATCAATTTGTGGCCCTGGTACAGGGCACTCTCACCTTTAGAATCGTGTTGCACACACACTGTGCTTGCAACCTGCACTGGTAGACAGTACTCGACACCCTATTACAAAAGCATATAACAAGTTGTCACATGAGAAACGGAGACTTGAGTATAAGAAGGCTAATATAACAGCCAACGCAATGCTTTGGGAATCAGGGTAATGCCAAGCGTATAGCGGAAAAGAGAATATTGAACATTATGCCGTGCAAACCCCCGGTGTACTGGCACACTGTACTCACCTCTTCCGTCTTTGCACCCTGTGACCAAAGCTACATTTCTGCCTAGTCCACCTCCAGTCACGCTGACGCTATTACAAACGTGAAAGCCCGACACTTCAGGCTAGGTTCAATGCATTCATATGCTGGTGGTGTTTACTTAACCCGATTTTGTTCAAATTTTTCGATCGATTATCATTGTTGACCACGCGGGAGGCGTTTCATTATGACGTCATTCAATAACTTAATACGCGTATGCTGGCATAGGCCTAAATACATTGTTAAGTACCCACATATACTCAAACTGAACCAAGTAAATGTTCCTTTTGCATCGGACTTATGTCATATACACTTCAGAAAAATGTTGTCTATTTTAAAAATAGTAATCAAATTGTTAAATTTGACGTTATTTATCTTTCAGTAAACNTTGTTAAGTACCCACATAGACTCAAACAGCTGAACCAAGTAAATGTTCCTTTTGCATCGGACTTATGTCAAAAACACTCCAGAAAAATGTTGTCTATTTTAAAAATAGTAATCAAATTGTTAAATTTGACGTTATTTATCTTTCAGTAAACAGCCGTAATAAAATTTTCGAGGTAGCCGATTTAATTTTCCTTTCCGTACGACAGTTACTTTTTTCTCTTTTCTTTTTATCAAATTAATGTTTGGTGGAGATTTGAATCGGTTATTCAAACAGTCAATTATAAGATAAGTATGAAAAATAGTCGAAAGGAAAAATTCTATTCTGATATCCTCACATTTTGTCTGACTCAAATTTTCATGGAAATGAAGTTATGTTGCGATCACTATGGCAGAGACACACTTAGCAAAACGTCCATTTTCTTTTTAAAAAACTTTTTATTGAACCAGTGAGAATACTTTATTGAAGATCAGTTTTTATATTTACATTATTTTAAAAAACGGTGACTGGATAAGAGTTGAAAAGAGAGAGAAATAACTGAAAAAAAGATTTTTTTGCATCAACTGCAATTTAAAAGCAATAGCTTTGTTTTGTGAAAATACTGTGTGTGGTGCAAGAACTACATAAAGGTCTTTTTATCAAGCAGCAGGCCTTGTATTGCACTATGACTTGAAAAACTTGAATTTTATGTACGTTTGATAAATAATAATACTTCGTGGAAGTGCCTTTACTGGTCAAAACAATCCTTCGTTGACTAATTAGCAGGTCTTACTTATTACCTTCAGTAACATGATATACCTAAACTCATTACTGCTTAATTTCCCGCGTCCACTGCTGTACCTGCGCTACGAGGTCTTTAGTGATACGTCTAGCTGAGTTATAACCCCCTTCCTCAGGGACACCCTTCAAATGTATCCCCACCAAAACAAAATGGTGACGATTCCACATCCAGACGGGGCTTCCGCTCTGCCCCTTGGCCGTATCAGTGTCATAGAATATACGCCTGTCACTCACAGCTTGGACACGCCCACCGCCCAAGTGCAGAGACCCAATTGGCTTATCGTTCGGGTAACCGGCAAGCGAGGTCACCTGATTAAGTAAGTTGACGTCATCAATTATACTATACCCAAAACCAAACTCATCCTGATTGTAATCAACGTAACTAGCGGGCAGCAAAATTGCTCCATAATCTTCTGATGCGATTTTATTATTGACGTAATTTTGCGACACCCGGAAGTGAGTCGGGTAGACTCTGTAGGCCCCCAGGGGGGCGCTGCGACCGTCCAGGCCCGGGTAGATGTCCAGGTATTTCACGTAGCCCCCGTGGGTGTGCATGTAGAGGTTGTGTCCGGCGGTGAGAATGAGACCTCCTTTCCCCGAAATCATGGATGTGAAGGCACCTGTACCGGCGAATTTCTTCCCGTCACTGGCCGTCATCACGAGGTAGCAAACCCATCTATAGAGTAAAAAAATTAACAAGTATCAGATGATATTGCGCGGAATGTTATGCAAGTGCTAACAAGTATTCCTGTTTTGATTGTCGAGTTCTTAATAAGAAAAAATGCCCAAAAAACATAAATGGCTTACAAGTCCATACTGCGTAGAATCGGTGGCGTCTATCGGATAAGCTGTTTTTTTTTTTACAACTGGACTCATGATGTTTCCTCCCTGCGGCGTAATATTTGAATAACAGGCATATCAACAAACAAAATATAAAAAAAATATGTAAAAGTATATCTTAGCACTTCAAAATATGCAACCTTTTATCTGCATGTATAAAACAATTACCTATACGGCTGTGAAGTACAGGGAGTAATGTGTATTCTTTCGTCTCCTTGTACTATACTCTCTGGCAAGAAACCTTGAAACATCATTGCAGAATTATTCAGCTTTTTATACTCGTTATCATCTACACCGTAAAATGTGGCACCCTCTAGTTTTGCGTCCTCTTGAACGTAAGTTGACTTCCGGGTTAAATGCGCATGCGGCATGTCACGTGGAGGGACGTGAGTTGGGATCCTTTCTGTGCTGAGACCGTTGGAAGACCTAATGTGAAGAGGTCCCGTGAGTTCGGGCACTGGAAAGATAGGAACCAGATGTCACTCATAACACAATCTAAGGTTTATTACAATTGGTGTAGTTCAACGTAACACAATTTGTCACACCAAACACAATTTGCAACTTGAAAATTTTGAAAAACGGTTTATTATTTCTGATTGGCCCGCTCAACACAGGAACAATGGCATATAAATTGTTGCTTACATCTAACACATTCCCATGCATTATAACTGTAACATTTATGTTGTTATCAGCAACAGCTAGCTAGAACATAAAAATGTATACAATGAAGTCTGTACTTCAGTGAATCTAGAAACAACCAAGTTAGCAAGCCATAATATTTCAATCCAGATTACAACAATGCCCATCAACCATAATCGCTTATCATCTTGATGTAAACTGAGAATTTCTGTTACTTTTAACATATTAAAACATCGGTCAAAAGACATGAGCGTAATCCCTACCAGGTATCGCACCGTCGTTTAAATCTCTCACCACTGGCGCCCTCTCTGGGGAGTGATCGTGCGCCCACGGAAAGGGGGAGCCACCGCTGGCAGGGGGTGCGAAGCGCCGTACACCCCCTCGAGGAGTTCGGTCATAATAGGACATTGTGCACGTCTTGTTTAGGAGGATCTGAAAGGAAGACTTGGGACATTAGACAGATGGCGGGGCATAATATTAAGTTGTACAAGCTAAGATATGCAAATGCAGATAAATAAAAAAAATGCATTATTAAACATGTAAAGAGAGAGAGAGGGAGAGAGATGAAACGTGCACTGACGTCTTTACCAAAACGTGAAATCACGAGGTTTTCAGATCCCCACTTTCAAACCGCAAGACATATATTTCTGACATAAGGAAGTTACCACATTTTGATAACAACATAATACTGGCAACCTCAGTATAAACAGGGTTTTGATGACCGCTTTATACAGGCTCAATGCCAATCATGGAACAAGATGATTAATCATGTCTTAAAAGTCTGCCAATTTTTCGCCCACCGCCTCGGTAAACAGCTGCAAAATAATGCTTACGTGACTTCAAAGGATTCGCATGATATCCATCCAATAACAAGTAATGTTAAAGAACATGTTTTATGTTGCAGCATTAAGAGCAATCTCCCTGGCAACCGCCATTAGATAAAATGTACTGCGTTAATTAGGTTTAACATGCCCCTTTTCATTACCACATGAAGAATACATTGGTGGCACTTTTGTTTATCGCTAAGCTATGGATGTCTGCTTGAAAAAATTACATTAGGAAAGCGTATCCTTTGTGGTCCATCCACTCTGCCGGTTTCTGGCTAAAATTTAAACAGTGAACACCACTCTTATTGATTATCCGGTTACTCTAAGACCCCATTCCCAGAGATTAGATCGATCCAAACTAGATCGACCTTACTACCTGGAGGTGCACGCTAAATAGCTGTCAGCCAAGCGGGCACGAAAGTTAATTACCCCCTTACAGCTTGCAGTAGGCGGGACGGACATTTAAGCCGGATTATCTGACAGTAATCTAGTGAGACTCCCCACGGGGATAGATCGATCTAAATGTCTGGGAATACGCCCTAACTACAACAACGACACAATGAACATGTACGTAACTCTCTCTCTCTCTCTCTCTCTCTCACACACACACACACACACACACACACATGCCAATGTAACTCTCTACTAGTCTGCCGCCATCCCTTCCCTCAACTACGAATACCCTGTTTAAACCCATAAATTTCATTTAATAAGTCTCAGTTTGTGAAATAAATACAGAAAATAGTTTTATTCACCTCAGGCTCGTTCCACTTAGCCCTGTTTAGTACATAATTCGTACGGACTGTGACACAAAGCAACAGGGGGGAGGGGGTCTGCCACTTCCGCCAGTTGACAATAAATTAAAGAAGAACAGAGTGAGCCGTTAACACCTCACACATGGCTGACACCGTAATTAATAGCACTGTACCAGTGTCGGCCCTCTGACACCTGTTGTGCAGGCCAGATGGTTTACTACTCCTTCCAGGTGCGAGTGTTTTGGTGGTATCGATCCCCGGTCAGGTTGTGACAGGATCGTACCAAACATCAACGTAAAAACCTAACCCCCCCCTCCACACACACACATACTATTACGCACACACGTTCGGGCCTCACTGCAACACGAAGCAGAGTAGGCCTAATACCTAAAACTGCGGTCAGATCTAGGACCCACTAGGTCAAAGGCAATTAATGTATCTTATATAATGACCATATTGTGCGACCTTGCGTGCATTCTGTTAAATTATTCCTATTGCTTTACCGACAGGACACCTCATATGAAAAAATACTGAGTTATTAGGCCTACTTATTTAAGATGCACTGGGATTAGGACACGACTCACCTTTTACATTCAAACAGAGATGTGAGTCCAGTAGGCCGGAAGATCCCAGGCACAGTACAATGGGCTATATAGACCTTGGCGCACCTATAAGAGCCTCTCGATATTAATCTGTCCTATCTTCAAATATATTCCACTTCCCCCAACATTGTCCGTTTATGTCACATACCACTCAATACTGAAAATGTTAATTAACCTCATTTTCAATACTTAAACAGTATATCAATGGCTTTAACAATAGTCTGATAACGAGATCATTGACTGGAGAGTGACCCTGAATGCGCATAAGGTATGCAACATGGCGCCTCGCAGTAATATCACGCTATATGCTTCTCTGATTTTGAATTAATGTATATAATGACATTTGAGAATGCATGAACTTCATGCGATATAATCAATATACACGACAATTAAAAGACAAAGTCATAGCGCGATGAAAATTGCTGATGACGACCAGGTAAATACTAGTATGGCCATCATACTTGTACATAGCCTTACATGGTACCTGCCAAAGTACTAGGGGCCATTCCCAGACTAACTGTGGATCGATCTATTTCCGAGCAGATTTTAGTTAAATTGCAATCAGCAGCTTAGATGTCTGTCACGTCTACTGAAGCTGCTAGAGGTAATTAATTATCGTTTGGCATCTTCAGTGGGCGCGCCAGACATCTAAACCGCTTAAGCTGAAAGCAAATTAGCGAGAAACCCCCCGGAGATGGATCGATCCTGTTAGATCGATCTAGGTATGGGAATCCAGTCTAAGTAATTGAGTGCCACAGGTAATTAAATGTAATAAGCCAAATTGGCATTAAGCGTAAGTTTATGTCTGTAGCTTAGTTAAAGATAGACGAGGTATATGAGTATTGCCAGAATTATAATAGTGGTAGCTAAATTGGTCTTTGACAGGGCGAGATAAGGGCGGGGAGGGGGTGTGCTTGTTTCTCTTTTTTAATCCTTTGACTCCTGACCGGACATACTTTATGAATAGTTGACGTTTTTTTTTCATTTGTTGAGTGGAAAAATATGTGATCTTTGTTAAAGAATGGGATTAAAATTAGAAAAATGAAATTTAATGGCATGGAGTGAAAAAGAATAAATTGACGGATGTGAACTAAAATAAAATAAACAGAAAATTATGAAATACGACAATCGATTTGCTTGTAATTAACAAACAAAAGCGTTTTGGTTATCTATCAGCATTATTTTACTTAAATACGCAATGTTTCACGTAATTTATCTAATCGGTTGCTTGAAAATATTACCAGAACGAGCATAGGGACATCCTAATGGCAGCAAAACCAAAACAAATTTCGCAAACGTGATTTATACGAATGAATAAAAAATGCTGAAAAGATGGAGTCGACAAAGGGCGATCAATATCGTTTTATTTAGACGGAGTGTGTCGCGTCAATAATTTGCCCCAAATGTATTTTCCGATGTTACTTATGTAAATACAGTATATGCAAGTGTCTAGATCTACTGATACATGCACCAACCCCAAATCAGCGGCCTTGGATCTTTTTTCTATTTGGATAATTCACTCTGTATATGTGCACTGTGAGTGTGAAACTGATCGGTTATTTAACACGAACGACCTGATAGCAAGGGGCCGACAAACCATAGGAACAGGTTGCCCTCACTATACAGTGAACTATAAAAAGATTGCTTTCAACAACGTTAGACCGACCTAAAAATAACAATGCACAATGAATTGTGTCAGAAATTTTCTAGTGGGCCGCCCCAAAAAATAACGCTTGCCAGATTCTCCAGTTGGGGTATGCTCAGTTGTGAATACCATTGTGTACGCCGGAGATGAAGCTATGCACACTCCATTTACTGCCTGCAAAAAAGATTTCGCATTGTATCACGATCATTATTATCAAAGATCAGTAATGGCGCCCGTATTAATGACGTGCTTAACACGTTTAACTGTCAAAGTGACCCCAGGTCAATTATAAAAAGGAACCAGTGATTTTTTTAAACGTCAAGGATTATACATTTGTGAATTTTGGAGAAGCTGCAATTTAAAAATTGTAAATATAATATAGGGTGTGCATTAAAAGCTCTAATAATCTGGGGAATGTGGGAACGAACAATTTAACATTAAATAATTATCTTCACTAAAATTTTAAGCTAAATCCTTTACCCTTTATTAGTAATGTGACTATATCCATTTTATATGCACTGATGCCATGTATGATCTTTAATTATAAGTTTTCTATATTATTTAGTTGAATAAATCGGAAGATCAAAGTTGTAATTTTGTTCCACGCTCATAAATACCTAATCCCGCAAAGGGTATAAATAGTCTTCCAGACCAACCTCAACCTTAAAGAATTAATGAAACGGGGGTGGCGGAAACCACCAAATAAATCGGAAATTTCTTTTTCGTCATCCTGTAAACAAAATCAGTGGCTATTGTTGTGACAGGACCCTTCCCTTTCTCTCCGTCCCTGCCCAGGATCCAATCCAGCCCCGTTCATTCAATGGTAGTGAACCGTGACGTCGCCACCCATCGTATTTGATTTCACTGATTTTATCCTACCTGATCGGTCAAGTCTTCTGTATTTTTATCCATTTTGATACACATTCCCCCGTACCTTTACATTATCTACATGTACATGTAAGTTATTAATACGGCATATAATATGAATTGAGTGGGTTCGCCCGGGAATCACTCATGCATGCGAGTATTTCCTCCGGCTGCAACGAATGGCTTTGTGAGAACAAATCTGATTTGGAGAGATAGAGAGCGTAATGTATGTGTGAGAGAGAATGCAGAGACGAGTGCATAAGTTTGTGTGTGTATCCTCTACCAGGGCCACAGATTGATTTTTTTACTAGATATTCACAAATATGTCTCTTGTTAATCGATGGCACATTTCTGCACTCACGCTAGAATCCAAAATCCTAGACTCACTTTGAGAAAAGTGTCTATTATTATCTGCGGCTGGTAGAGGGTAATGTGTGTGTGTGTGTGTGCGTGTGTGTGTGTGTGTGAGAGAGAGAGAGAGAGAGAGAGAGAGATACAGATACATAATATGACTGCAAAGAATCCACCGACAAGAACTTATTCAAACCCATAGAATATTACAGATATAAATATAAAAACATCAATACAGGACAATATGTACATCCATCTTACCTGTGTCGGAATAGAGCCAATTCAATTATCAGATATCCCTCTTGATAATAAGACAACCTTTTCTTCTTTTTTGTACGGATTGTCCTAAAAAGTCGGAGAGTAAATTCCTTTGCTTGGTCTTCTCCACCGTGTTATAAAACCACGTCGGTCCCACGCAAGTTCAGATATAGCTCAGGCTAAATTTAGCAGCAGACGACACTCGTGTTATGATAATGGGGCTATGGGAACGCTTGAAGCAACACGTTAATGACTGTCAACCGAAAGAGGTGACCCTCCATTTAAACGCACTGACAGGAATGAATGAGTCACCCTACGACACCTTTTGAGAATATCGTCTGCCAACTAGTACACTCCGCTCTCCGAGTAAGGTCTCGATTTCATGGCATAAGAATTGCGCTCGTATGTTTGGGAACGAGGCAATAGAGTGGAAAGAGTCTTCGTGTACACCGGTTCACGTATTACGTAGATAGGTGTGATATATCTGCTCATTTTCTTTTATCCGCCTATATAAATGAGATTAATGGACTGACTTTGTAAAAGGGACGCATGCTAGGTGATTAACTAAGCATTAGCGGAATAATGCCGTAAATAATGATGCTAAAATAGTGTTTGGACTGACATCCCCTTGCTAAGGTTAAGGTCCAAGAAAAGTGCCGTACAGTAGAAGACGCACTTCCAGCTTGCCTTGTTTGGCAAACGTTTCTTTTTGTGACGTAAAATGACACACCTTGCAGGCAAGAAGTGCCGGAATGTGTCCTTTGTACAGGGTACATTTGTTGTCATTGATGATAATTTTATACATAAGTGATACTGAGATAAAATAAAAATGAAGTCAATTTTTATCGTTAACGCGACTTTTTTTTTTGCATCACAATTAGGCAAGGTGTTTTATTGCTGACAGTAACTTTGTTATATTCTATCTTTGAAACGTCATATACGTTAAGAGAAAAAAATAGAAAAAAAAAAAAAACATCGAATTCGGTGGGATCACTCGCACACATGTAACGTTGTGGGATATATAGTAATTCACTCTGAAAAAAAAAAGCATTCCAGTACATTACTTAAGAATGACAAAATAAGGTTAAACTAACTTTAGGATCTGAATTAAAAAGTACGATCAAACGGAAATAATTCGCTTTTTATTTGTTTGAAGATTAAAGATTATCCGCTCAAACAAACGCATAAGTTTGCAGTACAGCTCACCTGCATTGTAAATAATCATATAATAATGGTGGTAAAAAGGCTGTGCTCCAGACGTGTCTAAAAAAATCAGAAATATAAAGCTACCTAAAATATCCTTATTGAAACCTCGGCTTGGAAATTACATCACGCATAAAACAATATATTCTAAAGGATTTCAGATTTAATTTTCCAAGAAATGTTGACCTTTAGCTGATATTCTGACGTCATGGTGAGCACACCTCGTGTCATGCCATGACAGGCCTTGTTAATGAAATGACGTTCCTCTTTCTTCCTAAAACAATGACAAATATCAGGTATCACTGATGTATTGCGAAACTTGTTTTTTTTTCTCATTTTGACTCTTCTGAAATGATTCTCGACTCAGAAATTAATTGCGTTAACCCTTTCTTCAACGCCCCTCAGCCTCCACTCTTACACACACGCGCGCGCACGCATGCACGCACGTATACGCTCTCTCTCTCTCTAACACACTCACACACACTAAAATAACATAAAAAAACAACATAAATCTGGAATCAACTGCCCTTTTACATCCGTCTCATGATGATTTGGATTGTGTGTGAACCCGTATAGTCTTTAGGCATGTTTGATGATTATGTTAAATCTTATTGCTGAATAATACCGGAACTACGCTAGCTTTGTTACCAATCGAGACAAAATATTTACATGTAGGTCCTATAGTATGCTGTGCATATTTCTTTATTCACATTTTTCATTATTCATATCATTTCTGATATATTAATGATCAATACATTCTTTTCTTTTATCTTGATATTATTTGTCAATTGTCTTTTTGTACATTGTTTGTATATTTTATATGCAAGTTGTATTTACTCTCGGGATATTACAGCGCTGGTGCATATATTAAATTTACATTTCATTTCACATCCGTTTAAATTACACATACAGTTAGATTCATATTTCATTTTGCCTGGACTAACCGCAATGCAGACAGGTTTCGCTCCACAGTCGTCCCTGTTCAAGAAACTGTTGCTCTTTCCTGGCTAATGCCAGTTACTTTCCTGCCTGTGAAGTAACAGTACCCTATGAGAGGTTGCTTCCACACTGGGATTGAAACATGGAGTTCCAAAGAAAAAATGTTCATTTAGAGCCAACCCTCGCAAACATGGGTAGGAGAGACTGCACATGTTCCCTCACGTGCTTTTTAGCGCCCCTTTCTCATTTTGACATCCCGAATCAAACTTCTGTATGTTTTTTCCCTTGTCTACATGTAGTTGAATTTGTTTTCATTGATGTATTGAGGTCACAGGCTGCCCTAAAGTCACGCAACGCTATAGATTTTAACGAGAAAGTTAAAAGCTCGTCTTATTTTGATTAGTCTTTCTCTCGGATTACCAACAAGAATCATTACAAGGAACACCACACGAAGGAGCTGAAATATGCCATTGTCACACAGTCATTTGTAGGTAGCTGCTTAACCACATATATAGTCTGTAACTAGTTCGGTCACGGTGCCCCACCTCCCTCGCCGTGTTCCAAAGATCACTGGAAACACGTCTTCGTTGTTGCCAGTATAACAATACATCCAGTGCCCTATCTTAAATTTTGTATGCCGAGTTCAATGGACGGTACCCTCCGTTTCAGAATGTTCCAGATGGCACTTATACCAAGCATATAGATGGCAGAGAGGTGATTTTTTAAAATGAATGTCAGGGTGCACTTCGAGGGCTGGCTGGATCATGCATTTAAAGAGCATACCGTAGGCCTAATGCATGTCTGTTATATTTTATGACCTGTGTTTGTTATATTTCATGACAGTCATCACGACAGCATCTACATATCTACATATTGTAACAAGCCTATTAAGGTATTAGATATATAAGGTAATCATCCGTGCGTTAATGTGCTGCAAATGAAACGTGCATATATCTCTTCTTCGGCTTTCTGGGTTTTATGACAAACATCAATATTTATATAAATTAATCATGAACTGTTGAAAGTAAACGGAATTCATTGCTTAATGTGGCATCATTACCAACATGTAACCGCTAAATTTATATTTATTATCTTGATAATTACTTCTCCTAGGTCCTGGGATGTAACTTGTATAACAGAAAACTAAATTACATCTCAAAATTCATTTTTGATTTCATATAATGGCAGTAAATAACAAAATACAACGTTGATGAGGCCTGTTTGGTATATTGCCAAAATACATAACGTTTTGACGTGTCGGACAGGATTTCATTTCAGGAAAGTAACTCAACTGATGTACAATAAGGGAACGGAATGCGAAACGCCTGTTTCAAATAAAGCAAATATATCGCTTAACAGTCAAGATGTGATGTAGGACAATGCGTGACATATGCCTGTCTACACCATTAAAGTTTCTTTAACTTTATTAGGATAGTGTAATAGAGAGCGCAACCAAAATTCGTTTCGTGGATTGTTTCGGACCAAAATTTCCCCTGCCTGGTTTTTCCAACCTTATCATATTTGCTCAAATGTAAACTACCGGCTCTTTGCTTTTATGCCTTTCACATTAGAGAGTTTAAAAATTGCAATTCTAGCTTGAAAGAGAAACGAGACAAACCGAATGTCTGGTTGTTTTTACGTCCCTCTAAAATGAAAAAAATTTGAAACGGAAAACCTCGCTGTGCAGGAGTTTCACCTCCCAAAATTTCTCCAATGCAGAACCCTTCGGTCTGAACACTATCTGTGTGTGTGGTTTATTACATCTGTACTGATGCAGCAAGGTAAAACATGTAATATCTCTTATCACGCATTCAAACCAAAGTTTGTCTAATTTTGCATGACGTCAATTTATTTTTTGCTCAATTTCAGATGCCAAAGAAATATATTTCAGTCAACATGAACGAGTGTTTTTCATTTATGCCGTGTTGTCCCTTTGAGAGTTTGCCTTTTAGCCAACAGGGTTCATAACTCTGCCCATAAAAAGAACGGTGCCCGATGTCCTTTCGCGAATCAGGAAGACGAAGGGACGGTCAGCTCGAAAGACGGGAGTCACTGAAACCATTGACCTGAAAGCCACGCCTATAGCTGTGGCAGCCGCCGCCTCGGTTCCTTCTTCGTTGACGTCAACGAAAGCCTCGTGGATCGCCTTGGAGACGAACAGATCTCCTGGTTTCCCGCCAATTCTCGACAAATCAGCGCCGCCTAAGTTGAACATCTTCGACATTCCCATTTGAATAAGCACGGGCTTCAGATCTAAGCGCATGTCGCTCAGCTTAAACTTAGGAAGGTACACATTGACTGTCTGGTTCCACATTGTGGACAATGCGTCATCCACAACCGATGCGCTGGTCAGTGATCTTTCCAGATGACCAAGGTCATCAATTTGGTCCGGGAGGAAGATGACCATACTAGTGTCACCATGGTAAGGTAGTTCCAAAATTTTGCATTTCAGCGAGCGACTGATTCCATACGGGAATTTCTGCTTTTGGAACATCATTGGCACGTTCACCTGGTTCACGTTGGATGTGAAGAACGGTTGGGGACGGGTGCTCGTCTCCGCAAACTTACTGGTCCAAGTTCCCTTAAAATATATGGCGTTCACCAGGATTAGGATGAGCTGGGGGTCGATGAAGTTATTTGGCAGGAGGTCGACTATCTTGTTATTTGTCTGCTGTTCTACCCAATTGTTGATGTACCTGGTTGTGGCGGAAGGTTGTCTAAAGTCCTGTAGATCTAGGGGAGCATCATAGTACCGTCCACTGTCATCAATGTACTTTTGATTGAAGTTAAATCCTTCTCTTCCAAAGAGTCGATTGGCAATACGGAGGAGATATTCGGTACCTGGGTTGGTTAGTCTGGTGCGGAGGAGTTTGAAATTTGTATGGATGGAAGGGATATTGCTGTAACCCATCACTCCTTTCATCTCTGATCTAGTGTCACCTTTAGCGCCGAGAAGGACCATGCTTAAAGCAGTCGTGATGCTGAATGGACTGAAGAAAAGGTTACCGGAATCGGCCTTGAGAATCTGGTACAGCTTTAGGGCGAAGTTGGTATTACTGGCAACAATCTGTTGTTCAGTTTGGGTGGCATCCTGGCCTAGTGTGTCCAGAGACCAGTTGCTTATGACCACCAGCAAACAGGCAAGAAAAACTGCTGACCTGACTAATGGATGCATGATCACCCGACCAGTTTTGTCTGAAACATACCAAATATATAA